CCAATGAGATAGCGGTGGTACAGGATGTCATAGGAAAGAGAAAGGGCGGTGCTTTGGGCCGTTGTCTTGTTGCCGGAACCAATGAGATAGCGGTGGTCCAGGATGTCACCGGAAATAGAAAGGGCGGTGCTTGGTGCCGTTCTCTTGTTGCCGGAACCAATGAGATAGCGGGTGGTCCAGGATGTCACAGGAATGAAAAAGGGCGGTGTTTTGGACGGCTGCCTTGTTGCCGGAACCAATGAGATAGCGGTGGTCCAGGAAGTCACAGGACAGAGAAGGGCGGTGCTTGGGACGGCTGGCTTTTTCCCGGAACCAATGAGATAGCGGGTATTTTAGCGGGTTGTCCAAACTGGTACAGAAACGGGGAAGCGGCGGTGCTTAGGAAGCTGGTTTGTTGCTGCAACCAATGATACGGGATGGTCCAAAATGGCCCAGGAACAGGGAAGGAGTGGTGCTTGGGGTAGCTGGCTTGTAGAGGGAATCAGTAAAATAGCGGGTGGTCCAAAATGGCACAGGAATGGGGAAGAGGCGGTGTTTAGGACATTTGGCTTGGTGCTGGAACCTAGATAGGAGTGGGTTCTGGAAATAGCAGTGACACTTTGAGGTGGGTGGTGTCGGTGGAGGGATGGTAGCAACTTTATGTTAGCATTCTTTTTGTCTCAGCGCCTTTTAGTGGAGCGGTTTCACAAATCTTATCAAGGATTTTTTTTTTAAAGGTCTTACAATGTAGTGGTGGCAGGCTTTAAACTGACACAGCCTGTTAGCCGCCTTCAAGTTTAGGTATTAAAGGTGTCTGCCACCATCCTGGCAAGGTGCTGTCTTCAGATTCTTGTGCAGAGTCAGATTAGCACACCTTGCATGGGCAGGGACATTCAGAATAGACTGTATTAAATAATCCCGTACTTTGCCTTGAACAGATCAGTACACAGGAAGCAGCATTCCTGCACTGCCTGTCTGAATAGAAGCCAGAAGACTAACAGCATCAACCATCAGTGCCAGCAAAATCGCTGTTTCCATACTTCAGCAAACATCAGGGTGAGCAGCTATTTTGTGAGCAGCAAAGAGCAGGTCAAGGGGCTTCCTGCCAAGGTTCACGGACTGCAGGATAGGACTATACTTAGGGTGACCATATCTGTTTACTTTTGGGGGCCTTTTTCTGCCTTTGATTGCAGATTTCATACAATTTTAAACCGTAAGCATTTTTCAGATCAGTGCCCATTCTTTAGTCTCTGCTTACCTCCCCCTGTACCTGTCACCGCCATCTTTTTGCTGAGATGATTTATTGGATGGAGGACCATGACATCACCTGCTGTTTCCCAAGGGCGTTTACCTTCCCACATGGCACTATGATAAGCATTGGTAGAAATGCAGGTCCACACTGGTCTTGTATCCATGGCAGTACTTTAGTTTGTCACATACAAACAGTACTTTGCACGTACCGCTCTGATCACATCTGCTGATCTCCAGTCATCTTTTCCTCTGCTGAGCATTTCTTCAAGAGGAGAGTCTCCTATGATTGCCAGTCTTGGACACAGCAAAGAGTGCTCTGAACCCAGTATAGCCCCTAGTAGGTGGCAGAGTGCTCTTCTTCCTGTCTTTTCCTCCACTGGGTCTTTTCCAGTGTTTGCCTCCTGACATTGACATTTTCCCCACAAGTACTTGGACAATACACGCTCGATTCCCCAGACTTCCAGAGAGGTTACCACGGCAAGAGGTCAGCAGGGTCCTGTGATTTTCAGAGAGCTTTGTGAGGGAAGACCCTCAAAATGATTTCAAGAACCTGGGAAGGAAAAGTGAATCTCTGGGAGTGGAAACGTAACAGAAAGTATTAACTAAGCTCTTCATTTGCATTTCAGGCTGTGGGAAACCCAGGATGGACATGCTGCCTTTCTACATGGCATTGGTTTTAGAATCGTTTGCGTCTTAGGAAAATTCTTAGCTAATAATTAGTACCTGAGTATTAGGTCTGTCTCTAGACGGTGGGAGCAATGGCTGTGGCTCTATTAGATGACTGGTGTAAGGGGATGGACCTGGATCCCAAGAAGGCAGTGCTCGTTGTGGGCATCCCTGTGCAGTGCAGTCAGGCTGAGATAGCAGACACTCTGAAGGAAGGCTTACCTCCTTTGTGTGCTCACAAGGTGATAGGTAGAATGTTTAGGAGGGAAGACAATGCTAAGGCGGTCTTAATTGAACTGACGGAAGTTGTCGATTATACTATGATGCCCACTCATATACCAGCAGCAGGGGGGGCCTGGGAAGTGGTAGTCAAACCCCGTAGCCCAGATAATGAGTTTATCAATAAGCTGATCTACTTTCTGAAAGATGAAGGACGGAGAATGGTAGATGTAGCCAAAGCCCTGGGGTTTAGCACTGCCCCTACAGTGAGCATGGAGCTAAGGAATTCAGACCAAGACAAACCAGAAGGTTTGAAGTCTTTGTGCAATAGCGTGTGTTACCGAAAACTGAAAGTGTTTTCTGGCAGTCCCTTTCCAGGCCCAGGAGAGGAGACCTTTGAAACCTGGTTAGAGGAGGTCACTGAGAGGATGCACTTATGGCAGGTGGGTGAGGAAGAGAAGAAGCGGCGCCTTCTAGAGAGCCTGCGAGGCTCTGCCCTGTCAATTATGCAGGCACTAGGGGCCAGCAGTGACTCCCTAACTATGGAGCAGTGCTTGAAAGCACTAAAGCAGGTCTTTGGGAATAAAGAGGACTGTAAGATCTTACAGTTCCGATGCCTTCAGAATCCGATTTCCTCTCAGAAAGCTGCAGAGAAGCTGTCTGACTATTTGCTGCGCTTAGAGCCCCTCCTGCGGAAAGCAGCGCAGCAGAGCCCCATGGCAGCACACAGCACAGACTCGATTCGCCTCCAGCATGTCTTAGCTCAAGTCTCCCTGACCACTGGCCTTAGGCGCAGGCTGTCCCTCTTAGAGCAGCAAGGGTGCCCACCTACTTTTCTGGAGTTAATGAAACTCACTCAAGAGGAAGAAGAGTGGGAGACCAACATGGTGGAGAAGGAGGAGCAGAATCAGGCTGGGAAGGAGAGTGGGACGTGTGAGGCAGCAGCAGATCAGGTTACCACCCAGGCAGGGTTCTTGCGGGAGATCAGCACCCAGACCACAGGAGAGGAAATTATATCAGTGAAACGGAGGCGACTGCTATGGAGACCCAGTGCTGGGGAGGAGGGGCCTCTGGGGCAGTCAAGTTTGGGGGCTAAAAATGAACCTGAGGAGCAGAAACCCCATGTTGTAGCTCAGGAGTCGGGAAACGAGAGAGGGGCTGGGGCCATGAGCCACCCCAACCCCAGGGAAATATAGGCTCAAGAGATCCAGAGATTCCTTCTTCTAGCAGGCAACAAAGATACCTTGGCAAAATGATGGGGCAGCCCAGACAAATGGCAGGGGACTTAAATTGTACAGAAGGGCAAGATGGCCAGGGCCAGGATAAGGCATCTCACAGGCCACTAATTAGAAATGATTCTAACAAGCAAAAACAAGCTCCACCTAGCTCAGTGACTACCATATCCCAGGCTCGTGGAGAGTACCAGAAAAAGAAATGGGGAACTACTATAGCCAAACTTCAGGGTGATCCAGACTCCAGTTGGGATGCTAGTGAATCGGAGGATGAAGGTAGTGAGGGCGGTGACTCTGAGCTAAGAATGCCCACTGGCACTGAAGCAAGACAGGGCTTGGAGGAACCGATCACAGGGCTGTCCTGGCCAGAGAGAACCAATGCCTGGGGAGAAGTGCAGCAAGGCCGGGAGACAGCGCTCCGGAGAGGAGGCCGCAGGATCCAGCCCGTCTTCAGGATCATCTACACTGCTCTAGGGGAGCCTCACGAGGGCAGCACCCTTGAGTCCTTTCGTGAGTGAAACACCAGGGTCCCTGGACCCAAAGGCCCCGGGACACCAGTGCCAGCCCGGAGGCAGATCCCATCCTGGCACCCCGGCAGGACTGTGAGTGGGGGGAAGACAGCAGTGCCCAAGAAGATCCCCGGGCTGGGGGTGCGTACCCAGCACCATAAGATTTGTGCCCTCAGCTGGTCTGAGAGCCCGTGAGTGTGCAGGACAGATTGGTGTGGACGAGGAGGTGGAAGAGCAGCAGCAGGAGGACTTGGTGGGGCGGTAGTTTGTTCTGCTCTCTTTTGTCCAGGGCTGCTGGAGAATTCCAGAGAGCAAGCAAGGAGAGCCTGGTGAATACAACTCGGCAGGCAGCTGCCACGGCTGGCCCCCAACCCTGCCCACCCGAGAGGGTGGCCTGGCGCTGCTGCCGAGGTGCCATCCTCCGTCTGCCACCCACACCAGACGGGTGGAAGTTACAGAAGAGGCCGCCTCAAGGGTTCTTTCTGCCTGGCTCTCCCAACACGGATGCCCCCTCCCCATGGCCATCCCGAGGGAGGCTACTCCCGCCTCTGACACCCCCTCCCCCCACTTCTCTGCTAACCTCATAGTGACCCACTCGGCTGTCCACCGAGTCCTTTTCCCCCTTGAGTGCTCATCCCCCACCCGTTGCTTCTGTACCAAGCTGTGAGTGAAGTGTGTGTTAACTTGAGCAGCTAGAGGCCCTGACTACCTGGTCAGGGGCCCCTACTCCCTGGCACGTGTTGTGAGCTTCTGTGAGCTGCTCTGCCAGCCAAGGCTGCCTAGCTCCCCTCCCACCGGTGTTGTGAACGCTCCTCGTCTGCTTTCCCGGTGTACATCTAGGCCATCTGCCTGCTGCTTGCTCTCCTGCAGATGTGTGGGTGTTCTTACACGATCAAGTGCTCCCTAGAATCCCCAGGCCCAGTCCTGGATGCCAGCGGGAAGCAAGGATGTCGACAAGGGACTGGTTGATTTTTGGGGTGGGACTGTGCTGTGATCTATGCCTGCTGTTACTTTCGACTATTTTCTAAGGCTGGTGGGGTGCTGCAAGCAAGGCCCCCCATTTCCTTGTGATGATGGGTCTGTGATGCTGTAAGGCAGCACCGTCCTATAGTGGTAAACCCTTGAGAGCATTCATAAGGGGCATTACCAGAGCTCATCTTGACAAGAGGCAAATCTAGGGCACCTAAGACAGCATATTGTAGCAGAAGGTCCTTGTGTAGACAGGACCCTGTGAGGGGAAGGGCAGAGCCTGTAACTTCTAGTGCCCATTGAAAGTTTCTGTGTTACCTTTTTTTTTAGTGGTTTTAGTACAAGTTTTTGTTGAATAAATTTCATGAATGTTCCAGCTATGTTTTGCCTTTGCTGGGAGAGTTGGAGGGCAACAGTGGTGGCTGGGTGGACACTGGCATGTGTCCATGTTGTGACCATGAAGGAGTCAGACTACCGGTAGCCAGTGGGTGTGGGGTACAATAATTATCTGCCTTCCTGGGGTACTTGGTATGAGTGGGAATGCAGGGGCTGCATGCTGATGGGGGGTGCACTCCAGAAGGCAGGCGCCAGGATTCCCGGAGTGTTGACCAGTGAATAGGTGTGGATGTGACTTGTGTATGGAGGAGCATGTTTTTGAATGTTGGGAACATTTGTGGCCATCTCTGAATGTGACTGTGTATCGCTGAAGGTGAACATGACTACGTCATTGTATGTGAGAATGGGTGTATTAGAGCATGAGACTGGACTCAGTGAGGGTCTGCTGTCTTGAATGTATGTCGATGGATGTAAATAAACGTGTTACTGAATGAGTGTGACTGTCATGTGCAGAGCTTGTGAACCAACGTTTTGTTTTGGTTTTGTTTGTTTGTTTTTTCGAGACAGGGTTTCTCTGTGGTTTTGGAGCCTGTCCTGGAACTAGCTCTGTAGACCAGGCTGGTCTCGAACTCACAGAGATCCGCCTGCCTCTGCCTCCCGAGTGCTGGGATTAAAGGCGTGCGCCACCACCGCCCGGCCGTGAACCAATGTTTTATAAGGTTGGTGGCTTCTGCTCCCCCTCAACCCTAGTCTCATTTTCACAGATTTTATGCATCACTCTCTCATGGCCCAGTAGCATCTATGGTGGGCACTCAGGAAATATTTATTAATAAGTCAGCAATTCTTTCTCTTCCTTTACGCTTACAGCTCCAAGGTTTACCTCCTCCAACTCAAGAGTAACTTGCCTCTCCCCAAACTTTTGGTAATCTTTGTGTCTCAATCTCCTGAGCAGCAGCAATACAGGCATGACCATATCCAGCTTGCTTTTGTAGCAAGAATGGATTCTGGTGAACCCAGGCCTAAAATCAAGTTATACTTAAGTGCACACATAAACACAAAAAACAAAAAATGTTTTTAAAAAGGAAATCATACTGATGTGTAATATCTTAACATTTATTATAATTTGCATACATTAATGTGGATTAAGCAAATATAACTAGAAACTAAGCAATTAAAAAGAAAATAATGAAAAGCCAACCCTCTTAATTGCAGAATTTTTTGAGAGAAAAGGGCTATTTAAATTCAAATCAATACTAAAACACTGTAAGCTGTCTTAGAGTATTTTCCATATTTCTGAAACTGCTTAAATGATAGAGTACACCTTTAAGATGGGGAAACTATTCCACCATGGCCTCTTTACTTTGGATCCCATCTTTGAGGCCTGCAAGGAGATTCCCAAGTAACACTTCTAACCAAAGGGGAGATTTTTACTAATTCATTTGGCACCCATATGTTACTGCCCACCATCTGCCAAGTCCCGTGCTAGAAATGAACTGAGAAAGACTAGTTGATAATTAGTGTGGGGATGTGACCTACTGTATTCTTTCTCCCCTTCAGAGTACATGCAGCAGATAAATACACAAATAAATAGAATGTTCTCTGATAACTTGATGGGAAGAACAAGTCCATGCTTAAATGTGATTAGGACTCAGAATCTGAAGAAAGAGAAGAGCTATTTTATAAGTAAATCAAATGAAGAGGCCTCAATTTTGCATCCCCAAATCTTGAGGGCTATTATTGCTTTCAAGGATCTTACTTTAATGCTGCAGAGTGAAGCTGAATCAGAGCAGTCTATGAGCAAACTGCAGGGATGAACCTGCCTTGCTCTGTCAGGCATCAGCTTTTAGCGCTTTGAGTACCTGGGGACCTAGAAGTTGATGTTGGTTTGAAACAGTCAAGACCAGAAAACAAGTCACTACTGCAACTGCACCGTCTACTGGATGGCAATTACATTATTGTGATGCTTCAAGGAGGGATCCAAGAAGCCCGGAGACGAGTGAATTTCACACTTGCCATTTCTAAGAGTATGTCTCGGGGCAGGGTATCAGGTAGGTATCGGGACCCTCCACACAGTGCCTGGCCAGTGTCCTGACGAGAAAGTATGGGCTCCAGAGAGAGACAACATTGTTTCTACTGGATTCTTTCCACTTTTCTTTATTTCTAAGATGAGAATCTTAGAGACTATTAAAAAGTTTAAAAGCCAGTGCTTTCAATAAAAAATTATATTACAAAAAAAAAAAAAAAAGCCAGTGCTTTGTGGTGATGCCTGGTGTGTGGTGAGGTCTCAAGAAACCTTATCTCTTCTCTTTAGTCTTGAGATGTACACACCTGAGGCAGTTCAGAAAATTTCTATGTAAAGTCCAGGAAGAAGGATACTGGGGGTAAAGACTTGAACTAGCTGTCAAAATTCAGACATAGATATCCCTTTTGTTAGAAGCCTCCTAATATTGTATTCTATCAAATTTAAACCAGGGTAAGTTTTCCAATATGTACTGACATGCCTGACTGGAAAAACTCAGAGAATGGGAGGAGGTAATTTAAATCTACATAATTCAAAGACAACTACTTTAAAAATTGTATGAGAAATTAAAATACATACAGTGAATAGACAAGCTAAACCTTAGCCTATTTCCAACCCTTAGCATTCAATGTCTATAATTTCCCTACCAGGGATCGTCAACAGCATTTGGTTTGGCCCCTCAGAAGCCTCCAAAAGTCTGCATACATTGATACCTACACTTGTGCTCATGTCTAAGATACCAAGTCATTGCACTCAATAGCCAACATATCTTAGGGAAGTCAAAGTGGAGTCCTGTATCCTGGGAGCAACTGAGATACGGATTTGCATTTCTAAGGTATAAGAGACCATACATGTGTAATTATAACATCATTGAGATAACAACACTAGATGTGTTACTTCAGTACAAGGTGGGCATAAGTACAGTGAAACCAGGTTGGGGAGGATGTAAAGGAAGAAGAACCAACAATTTGGGGACAACTAAACAGCCAAATGCATCTGGGACTCATCAGCTTCTGTTCAGCCTGGAGGAGCCAAAAGGAAAGCAATGAGATAAAGTAAGCATCCAATACCTGACCACCCGGGTCCTTGGGGGTGAGTAACTGTTACAGTGAATGTCAGCCTGAGTCCAACACAAAGGCATTTCTTAGAGGGAAGGCAACCTTTGTGTAGCTAGAGAGGGAAAATATGCTGTGTTCAGACACTTGGGACAATCCCACTTACTAATGGCCCAAAGGCTGCTTTATTCATCATCTTTGTTACTAAGTCTAAATCTAAAGCTATGCAAACAAGACAATGTGCAGAGAGCACAGTACTCGAATCTTGAGACTTGGGATGAGGTCCAGATTCTATCACACCAACCAACTAGGTGTTTGTCCAGAACCATTGGCCACCTACATCTTAATTTCTTTGTCACAAAATAGGCCCAGGTGTCCCAGGGTTAGAGGAGTCCGCTGAGGTTCTGGATGGGAGAGGTATTTCTTTAAAGGAAGATACTATGACTCTAGCAACTTGGAAGAGACCCTAGGGAGGAGTTTTGTCCACATTGCCTAAGATCTCAAAGTAGCATAGGTCACAGAACAAGACTTAGGATTCTCTGATTAGCTGATGGAAGCATATCAGGGTCCTGAACTAAAGCCCAGGTCCAAACCAGGGCAAACTTTGTTCCTTTAGTCTAATGGGAGACTTAGCTGCTTATCATATGGGCTTACGGCACTCACCTAGAAGAGCTTCTCATAGCATTTCCCACAGTGGATGGTGTCACGGTGAATGAAGATCTGATCTAGGAGATCACCCATCGGTTTACTGCAAATTCCACACTAGCAGAGAAAGCAAAGTGGAGGTCAGGACTCAAAGCAGATGCTATGAGCAGATGGCACATCCTGGACTTCAAGGAGATAACAAGACATTGCAAACATAGAAACTCTGATCTAGGAAACAAGATAAAACAAACACAAGAAAACAGCCAAAGTAAGCTAGTAAGGACTGGGGAGCTCAGTAAAGCACTTGCTGTAGATCTCATTTCCAGAACTCATACGAGCTGGGTGCAGAGGCATGAACCCATAAGAGTCTGGGTGCCAATTACAGGAGGAGTCCTGGGGCTTTGACCACTCCAAGTTCACTGTTCCTGCTCTCAACACAGAGAACAACTGAGGAAAAGTGTCCAGTCTGGCCTCCACACGCACACCCTGGTTAGGGGTTGCAGTTTCACAATTCAGCCAAGGTTAGAAATGTTTTTGGTTTTCAAGATAGGGCTTCTCTGTATAGCTTTGGGGCCTGTCCTGGAACTTGTTCTGTAGACCAGACTGGCCTCAAACTCACAGAGATTGACCTGCCTCTGCTTCCTGAGTGCTGGGATTAAAGGCCTGGCAGCCCAGGTTAAAATCTTGCATGAGTGAAATGGAAAGTTACTGAAACTTTTCCCACTCCTATATCTATAAGATTGGGAGAGGCTGGAGGATATAAAGCTTAAGGTCCTGAGGAAGGTGATAGTGTCCCACAGAAGAGAAAAGGATGTTTTAGTAGTCCAGTTCCTCCCACAAACCTATGTCCTCAGGAATGTCAGTAGCAGGACTTCCTGGCACTGAGAGTTGAGTAAAAGGAGACCAGAAAGTGCCTGGTTTTCCAGAACTCTTAGTGTCTCCAGCCTGGGGCTTCTAGCTTCAAGCAGTCAGAGGTGCTGGGAAGGAGAGAACAGCCTTCAAGTCCCATTGCTCATTCTCGCCATGCACCCTTCTGATGGCACCCTGGCTACTTTCTCCTGGCAGAGTATTCCTCAATGTAAATCAAGTGTGCTTCTGTTTCCTGTATAATGCTTTTATCCTTTTAGTTAGTGTGTGCCAAACTGGAACATGGACTTAGAATGATGATGATCCATTTAGGGGTCACTTCTGGGCATGCAGAAAATGTATACAAATGACCCTAACCAGTGTGATCACTTTTCCTGGGACAGTAAAAAGCAGCTGGGTAGTGCCAATGATAGAACTTAGTAGCAAAGCACTAATAGAACACATGTAAGAGGTATACAAACAACTCAAGAAAATGGACACCAAAAGATCACATAATCCAATAAAAAAAATGGAGTACAGACCAAAACAGAATTCTCAACAGAGGAATCTAAAATGGCTGAAAGACACTTAAGGAAATGTTCAACATCCTTAGTCATCAGAGAAATGCAAATCAAAACAACTCTGAGATTCCATCTTACACCTGTAAGAATGGCCAAGATCAAAAACACTGATGACNATAATCCAATAAAAAATGGCTTACAGACCTAAACAGAGATCTCTCAACAGAGGAATCTAAAATGGCTGAAAGACACTTAAGGAAATGTTCAACATCCTTAGTCATCAGAGAAACGCAAATCAAAACAACTCTGAGATTCCATCTTACACCTGTAAGAATGGCCAAGATCAAAAACACTGATGACAACTTAAGCTGGAGAGATTGTGGGGAAAAGGGAACACTTCTGCATTGCTGGTGGGAATGCAAGCTGGTACAACCTCTTTGGATGTCAGTGTGGCAATTTCTCAGACAATTAGGAAAGAATTTCAAGACCCAGTAATACCACTTTTGGGTATATATCCCAAGGATGCTCAATCGTGTCACAAGGACATGTGCTCAACTATGTTCTCAGCAGCTTTGTTTGTCATAGCCAGAACCTGGAAACAACCTAAATGCCCCTTGATCGAAGAATGGATGAGGAAAATGTGGTACATTTACACAATGGAGTACTACACAGCAGAAAAAATAACGACATCTTAAATTTTGCAGGAAAGTGAATGGAGCTAGAAAACATTTTGAGTGAGGTAACCCAGACCCAGAAAGACAATTATCACATGTACTCACTCATAGGTGGTTTTTAAACATAAGGCAAAGAAAGCCAGCCTACAAACCACAATCTCAGAGAACTTAGACAACAATGTGGACACTAAGAGAGACTTGCATAGATCTAATCTACATGGGAAGTAGAAAGTAGAAAAGACAGGATCTCCTGAGTAAATTGGGAGTATGGGGACCTTGGGAGACGATTGAAAGGGGAGGAGAGAGGCAGGGAGGGGAGCAGAGAAAAATGTAGAACTCAATAAAAATCAATAAAGAAAGAAAAATAAAAGAAAAAGGAGCACATGTAAAATCCTAGGTTTAATCCCCAGTACTAAGAAAAATATGTCTGAGAGCCCTCTAGCTCCCTATAATTGAACAGGCTGCTGCTGATGCTGAGCAACTCTGTGCCCTTAGAAGAATAATGCTGGACTAGGGAGATGACTCCGTGGGTAAAGCACTTGCCATGTAAGCATCAGGACCTGAATTTGGACCCTTAAGACCCATATAAATCTAGATGTGATAGCATGCACCTGTAATTTCCACACTCCTAAAGTGAGATGGGAGGAAGAGATGTGACTCCCTAGAAACTCGTAGGCCAGCTACACTGGCATACACTAGCAGACAAGACCATTTCAAACTAGGTGGAAAGTGAGGCCCAACACCCAAACTGTCCTAAAGATACATGAACATGTAAAGATACATGAACACCTACACATAGATACACCACACAACAAAGAAAGAGAATGCTTCCCTAATCCAGCATTTAAGGCCCATGGGCTACAACTCTTGGTTTATGTGGGATTTCCCTCTGTATGCTGTGATTACCATTGATAAATAAAGGAACTGCTTTCAGCCTATAGCAGAGCTATATGGGAACAGAGCTAGGCAGGGCAGGTGGGGGAACTAAGCTGAATGCTGGGAGAAAGGAGGTGGAGTTAGGAGAAGCCATAGAGCTGTTGGAGACAGACGTGCTGAAACTTTCCTGTAGGCCATGACCTCATGGTGATGCACAGATTAATGGAGATGGATTAAATCAAGATTAAGAGTCAGTCAATCAAAAGCTAGAGATAATGGACCAAGCAATAATTTACATAATACAGTTTCTGTGTGATTATTTCGGGGCTAAGTGGCCTCCCTACAACTCTTGGTCATTCTGCTCACCTTCCAAGGATCCCCTAAGCACAGCAGCTTCCTGCCCCAACTCCAGCTTTGTCACACAGTATGGGATTCCTGCTTGAACCAGCTTAGAACTTACCTGACAGTACTTCTCCCTATGTGCCAGTCAGAGGTACAACACATGGCAGTTGCCTCCTCCTTGCTATGTCATGAGCCATTTCCCCCCTAAAAATCATTACAGGAACCATCACCCTGGGGAGTCTGCAGGGAACCTCATACCCATAATTATGTTCTATTGAGAGAACCTGCCCCACACCCAATTAACTTATCTGTTAGCTGGATACATTCCAGCTATCCAGGGAACCAGGTGTGGCAACTTCTGACTTCTTGGCCTACCTGTCCGAATGTAACCTCCTGGCCTATGTGACGAACCTGGCCTACGTGACCTGGAACACGCAGCAAAAGTCCAGTTTCCCTACCCTTCAGGGGCTATATAAGCAGCAACCATGATCCTAATAAAGGGAGGCTTTGACAAATCTGCTTGGCCTCATTCTTCTGTCCTAGCTCATTCCCTTCCAGGTAGCGCCCCTCCGTGACCCTGGAATAACTGATTGCAGGGTGGGTTACAAACCCCTAGACTGAGTAACCCACCCAACGCAATCGACATTGCTACTTTACAACTCACTTTCTTTCCTCTCTAACTCCTAGTCATCTTCCCTCACAAAGCTTCTCTGGAGTTTTTGCCTACTTCAATTGCATTCTCCCTTGTGAATGGTCAGTGCTGTAACCACATGTATTCAAGAGTAGCCTAGGTCTTATTATTAGGTCCCCATAATTTTGCTGTACTTTATGTAAATGGTCTATCATTAAGCATATGACCTCAAACCAACTCTTCTGGTACTGTTCATAGAAGTTCACCAGTCAAGGTAAACAATATGCTTTGTACTGACCAAGCAAACAGAAGCAACTATTAAAGAAAAAATGCATTTAATCTAAAAAAATTAGAGTTTATATCAAAATTACACATACACTTTGAGATAACTGTCTATGTTCATCTTTTTCTCTGACTTTGCCTGTTCATTCTGTATCTCCTAACACTGAGATTCTATACCAGAGGGAAGGGAAGTGGCCTGTGTTAAGATATTAAAAATTCCATGTGTAAAGATCACTTTCACTCGGGAAGCTAGACTCACACCTGGAGAGTTTTTCTTTTGATCTTCATGATTAAGACTGTACTAAAATATCTTTATTATATGAGCTAGTCCTAAAATTCCTTTCCATGCTGAAGCCACAAATCCCAGTTTGGTCTGAGGTGAAGTCCCTAAAGCTTAGGGGAATACCTCAGTCTGCTAAGTGTTAGATATCAAAGAAACCCTGGCCAAATGAATGAGGTCCCTATTAACATATCAATGCAGGGGGAGGAGAAAAAAACATATCAATGCAGAAGCTGCCAGGCTTTCCCAGTACCTGTGAGAGAGTTCTCTCAGGCTTTTCTCAGAACTTCTCTCCCCCATCCCCTACCCAGAACCTCTGTAGTTTGAGCTTTGCTTCACAGACAGACAGACAGACACACACACACACACACACACACACACACACACACACACGAGCTTCTCTTTTCTTAAAAAATTCAGCCATTTTGGCTACATGCTTTTGGTTCTCTTGGCTCCTGGTTTCTCTCTTGGCCTCTTGATCTGCAGCTTCTCTCTTAGACCCCTTTCTCCTCTTCCTGTCTTGCTCCCCCAACCCCCACCCCTGCCATCCCTCTGCTCTCATGGTTCAGCCTGGACCCTTCCAGATGCCTCTGACTGTTTTCTCCCTCATATCTACAGTAAAACCTTTTCCTCAAGCATGCCTACCTAGGAGCTGTCATGTCATTTTCATTCACCTGGTGTTGAAACCACAGGAGTGACATATATGAGTTCCTTTCCAAGGGACTCAGCCTCTCCAAATTAAGCTGCTGATCAGAGTCTCCTAAGATATGTATAGCTCATTTGTTTCCACTGCCTTCTTCCACCCACCAAATCTGACTGCAAATGCACCATCCTCCCTCCGCCTCTTCTAACCATTCGTGTCTACTTAGTGTCTCTCTGGCTCCTTTCTGCAGCCTGCTACACTTATCATGTAACTCTTGGTCTCTCTGGCTCTTGGACCCTCCTGTCCCCTCTTGGGGTGCCTATCATCTGGGCATCTCTCTGGCTCACAGTCATGCTAAATAAAAATATAATTCACCTACAGGGACACACTTTATTTAGTTTCTTGTATGTGTTTTCAATGTTAAGTCTAAAGCAAGTAACTAAAAACAAGTTAAGTTTGCTTAAAAACAGGCATATTTTTTTTTCTACAAAGACTAGCCTCACGAAAAAAACAGGTATAATTAAGAGATAATGATCCTTAAACTCTTCAGAGATCTCCTGAATATGGCATTTAAAATGTTTCATGAAAAAAAAAAAACTTCCTGTGATAATGTCAGGTCCTAGTGGCAATCCTAAAGTCTCCAAAGAAGATGATGTGGATGACCATGTGTGTAATGGATTATTAAAAATTGTTGCGGATCCCCAGTAGCTTGCTGCAGAATCCCTGGCGGTGGCAGGCACTGCACAGGGGGTCCTGAGAGCAGCCAGTCCCAGGCAGGGAAAGCGCATAAGACCACATGGCAGGTTCTGAAGGTGGCTGGTCTCGGGCAGCAGATGAGAGACAGACAGAGGCATGCCATGCAGAGTGAGGTTGGATATTTATTTAGTGGTTGTGGAAGGGAAGGGAGAAGGGGAGAAGAGCAGAGAGGCAGAGAGAGACAGAGATAGAGAGAAAGAAGCTAAGGCTGCAAGCAGGAAGGAAGACCTGCCTGCCTCAGTGGATGGGGGGGGGGAGTGGGCATGGCTTGTCTCTTAAAGAGACAGAACAATCATTACAACGTGGAGCTATATTTCCTCACTGCTAATGTTTTGGGGACTCAAGCTGAGAGAAATCCATCTTGCAGTGTTGGTGAGTTTCCCTGTCTGTTGCTTGCTGACCTACCTTGTTAAGCAGGGCTTTCGTGTTACCTGAGGTTCCTTAGTTCTGTTTTTCTGGCCAGAGACCCACTTAGTGTTTGATAAGTGCCACTGGCACCAAAAAATAAATAAATAAATAAAAATTTCCCTGATATATCCATTCTCTGATTTTGGATTAGATGGAATAGTACATGGCTTTTTCAGGAGACAACTTAAGACCTGATCCCCCTATATGTCCTTGGTCATCTTCTACCTCCAAGAAAGCAGCCCAAGACAAAATGGAGAACTACATCCCCAAAGCAGCACATTAGGAATAACTGTAATTATTCAGCCACAGATAAGGCTACACTTCTGAGTTCTAAAAGCAGGCATGTGCAGATGGGCCCTCGGGCACAAAGGGCCCTGTATGACCCATGTGCACACATGCATGGTTACATCCATGTATGACTCAGCTAAAACCCTTGTGCACATGTCTGAGTTGCCCATCTGCATCATCAGCGTATAATGTAGTCATGCCCCCCCCCCCACTGATCCTAAGGAGTTTATTAGAGGGGGTGCGTACAGGTACAGGCCTGGGGATTGGTGTGCAAAGAGACAGAGAGAGAAATGGTACATCCAGCTTTTAAAAGCTGCCTAGTACATGCGCACAGGGGGTTGGTGTGGCTGTATTATACTCTGATGACGCAGATGGGTTTTAGCTGAATCATACATGTGTCTCATGTTTTCTTCTCACTCGTGCCAGGTAATTTCAATAACTATTTGCATATGTACTCTTAATCTCAAATCTTAAAAGTACTCTTTCTTTCCTCCCTGTCTCTTCCACTTTTGTTAGGCTAATAGTTTAGATAGGGGGCTACCGCTGGCTCGCATCCCCTATGATGATCTAAAAAGGGGGCTGACTTCTATAACTGTTAAGCTTACAACAAATACATTTAAAGTAACATTAAGGAAAACATTTTCATCAGTAAATGCATCTCCTCTCCCTCAGCTATTTAGTTAAAAGGGAAAAAGATATTATGTCTATACGGCAAAATTCATCTTTTGATATTTTTCTATTACTAAGCCTTTCTCATATCTTAAAGAGACAGGGATATAAACATTGTGCCTTCTTTTTGCAACTAGATATACCACTTATAAAGGCTACTTTACTAAAATGTGGTTATGGATAGAACCACCTTTCTGATTCACAAGGAGAAATTCATATCTGGTTCAAGGAACTTAAACAAAACCTGTGCTGCTAAGGAATGTAGTGATATTTTATTTGTATTTTAATAAATAAAGCTTGGCTGAAAATCAGAGAGTAAAACAGCCACACTGGTCAGTCTTACAGACTAGGTAGTGGTAACACACACCTTTAATCCCAGTAGACACACTAGTTGCCATAGAAACTGGGTGGTAGTGGTGCACACCTCTAATCCCAGAACTTGGGAATATTATAAGATGGGAGGAGGCAGCTCTCAGACACAGTCTCATTCTGAGATTCCTAAAGGCAGGATCGCCATTTCAAATTGAGGTGGAGGTAAAAGCCAGTAGCTGGCTGCTTTGCTTTTCTGACCTTCAGGCAAACTTTATTTATTAAAATACAGAGGAAATATCACTAGAAAGGAAGCCATAGGCCCAGTGGTTAAACAACTGCCATTGCCTTAGTAAATGAGTGTGATGTCCTGGCTCAGATGCTATCTATGTAGGCTGCTGAGGGAGAATTGTCACCAATAGTCGTACCTGGATGACAATCCTGCATGCTCTACTATTGATACATGAGATATGTGCACTGCTATAACCAAGAACATTCCAATTGGATTTAAGGCCAGCCTCATGGAAGGTAATTCACATTTCATACTGTAAGCCTTGTCAAAGGCACTGGCTGGGGAGTGCATAGGTCCTAGTGTGGAAAGTACTGCTTTTGTTTTGTTAAACAGACATTGTTCATAGCCACAGATTATTGCTGCTGTGAACTTCATCAGGGAAGTGTCTCTTCTCAGTGAGAGCTGGTTGCTGTGGCTCTCTAACTGGTCTCAGTGCTGAGTGATACGACTGTTGCTTAGCCCCAGTTGGGAGAAAATAATCATGTATCTGTATCACCCCCTTCCAAGACCCAGGGAACATCACAGAAGAGGGAATGGAAAAATGTAGGAATCAGAGGGAGGGATAAACCCCTGTGGAACTTTGTTCTCCTGGCAAGGAAGGCATGACTTGCATCTTAAAACCCTAGTGTCTATGAGTACCTATGTGAGATCTTCCCAAGATTGGGCCCGATAACACTCCCTTGTGGGACTCATGGGGCACTCAGGAAAGGGTCACTGGTACTTGAGGAATAATATATGAAGCACATGAGACTAGATGCCGTAGGCCTCACCTCACCCCAAGAATATATAAGCAGTTAATGGTTGCTATGAAGATGGTACTTTTCTTGGTCATGTAACTTTGTCATGAGTTACCCATGTTCCTATAGGCACCTCTCATCTATGCTCCTGTAATTAACTCTGATTAAACTCACTGTTTCACCAAATTAGACTTGAATGTAATTATTTCTTTCATATATTTTTGGTGCTCTATATGGGATGAAAAGGACATCTGTTTACATGTCCCCTAGGAGAATTTAATCCAATAACTCCTCATTCTTGCCATTCTATTCATGCCAGTTAGAATAAGCCATGTTTCGGTGTTGGGACCTTTGCACTACTGACCCTTTGTGAGAAACAGTCTCTGCCCCGAATACCTTTTTGCCTCCATTATGTTACTAACCAGCTCAGTGCTCTGTTGAGCCTCTAGGATTGTTCACAGCGATGCACGGAAATCCACACTCTCTCATCAGATCTGTGCTCTGAAAACTATTCACACCTCTGTCTTACCTTAAAACAGTACTCATGGCAGCAGATGCCAAGATGTTCAAGGGTAATCTTTGGACAATCTCCGATCTCTCGGCTGCAGTAAGTACAGTTGCCTTCAGTTGGTCTAGGAGATAGAAAGAAGAACCAGGCACTCAGACTCTGATAGGATGCAGCAGATCTAGCTTGGTGCAGGCAGACCTAGGTTCGCCAGTATTCCCAGCTTCCCATTGTGTTGTGTTGTATAACTGGTAGCCAAACTGTTGTATCACCTATGCCAAACTGGTTCTCAAACTTGGAACTATTCTCCTGAATCAGTACTGACAGCCCTCTTCTGCATGCCTGGGACCATGGGGCACACCCTTTCTCCCAGTTACTATCAAGGCCACCCTATCTCTAGCCTCATTGTATACTCTGCTCAGAGCTCATCCTAAATTCTCTAGAAGATCCTGACTTCTGGATCAGTTGTATCCTTTTTTCTAAGGTTCCTTTTATTTCTGAGAATCATCTCCGATCCTCCCTTCTTTTCTTTTCTATCCCTAACAGGAACTGCTGAATGAGGCTCTTTTCTCTGATCCTACAGGCTAAAATTAAGGGTTCTGTCTTCCAGAGTTGTAGACCTGATTCCAACAGGAGCCTGGGTGTCATTAGCACTGCCATGACTATTAATGGTTTGCCCTGTGTGGTGGTTTGAATAAATATGGTTCATATAGGCTCGCAGGGAGTGACACTATTAGGAAGTATGGCCTTGTAGGAGTAGATATGGCTTTATTGGAGGAAGTGTGTCACTGGAGGTAGGCTTTGAGATTTCAGATGCTCAAGTCAGGTCTGGTACCTCACTCCCTCTTCCTCCTGCCTAGAGATCTGGATGTAGAACTCATAGATCTTTCTCCAGCACCATGTCTGCCTGCATGCTGCCATGTCCCACCATGATGATAATGGACTAAATCTCTAAACTGTAAGCAAGTCCTAATTAAATGGTTTCCTTTATAAGAGTTGCTGTGGCCGGGTGGTGGTGGTGCATGCCTTTATTCCCAGCACTCGGGAGGCAGAGGGAGGCAGATCTCTGAGAGTTCGAGGCCAGCCTGGTCTACAAGAGCTAGTTCCAGGACAGGCTCCAAAGCTACAGAGAAACCCTGTCTCGAAAAAAAAAAAAAAAAAGAGTTGCTGTGGTCTTGGTGTCTCTTCACAGCAATAAAATCCAACTAAGAAGTTGGTACCAGGGATGGGGGTATTGCTGTGATAGACCTGATCATGTTTTGGTTCAGAGGAATTTGGACTTTGGTACTTTGGGTTAGGAAAGCAGTGGGATGCTTTAAGTATGGCACACTGGGCCACACTAGTAGGAACATGGAAAACAATGGTGCTGAGGGTGATTTTAACCAAGGGGACCAAACACAAGAGGTTTTAGAAGAGAAGAATATTAGTATGTGGTCTATAGATGGTTCTTGTGATATTTTGGTGAAGAATGTAGCTGCTTTCTGCCCTAGTCCAAAATATCTGCCTGAGGCTAAAGTGAAGAATTATGTATTGACAGTTTTAGCAGAGGACATTTGTTTTTAAAATTGGAATTTTTTAAAACTGGAATTGACTATGTTGTGTTGCTATTAATGACCAATTTTATGCAGATCTATAATGAAAATGAGCAAGCTAAGCAAGGAAATATACAAAATGTGCAGTTTATGGAGAAAATGAACTCCATGAATTGTAAACAGACTAAAGAAAAGCCTGATGCTAAGTGGAATAAAGGGAGTGGTGACCTCAGAGGAAGACCCCACCCAGCTAAGCTTCCAACTGTGAAAAGGAACTAAAGGAAAGTTTATGCCAGCACTCGGGAGGTAGAGGTTGGAGTATCTCTGAGTTGGAAACCAGTCTGGTTTATAGAGCTGAGTTCCAGGATAGCCAAACTTAAGCAGTGAAGGAAACCATCAAAAACAGAAAGCCAGTGAAAATATATTTGAATGAAGGGGACATGTTCCAGCCCCAGCAAGCAGCAGAACTTGGCAGCTTCTGCCACATGGTTCTGGTTTTAGAGTCAAGAACAGAAGAAAGGAGCTATGGAATCACCCTCTGCAACTAAGGAAAGCCTCTGAGGCAGGCATGTGTCAGGGGTGTCCCTGCATGGAGGTCCAGAGAGGCCATTGCGTGAAGCTGTGAAGGTGAAGCCTGGATTGCCTTGAAGACCCCAAGATGTTGGAGATGCCAGAGCCATGGGATACTTGCCCAAAACTGCTAACAGGGAGTGGAACCACCCCAAGAGAGAGAAGTGTGTCATAGTCAACAAAGCTGAAAGGAGTTGGAGATCTGAAGAACATTTTGACATCAGAGGCAGAGTTTGGAGTTTGCCCTGATGGTTTTTGGTCTTGCTTTGGTCCAATATTTCCTCACTATGTTCTCTTCCCTATGTTTTGGAATGGTTATATATATTCTATGCCATTATATGTTGGAAGTATGTGATCTGCTTTTTTTATTTTGATTTTATAGGGGGTTACAATTAAGAGATTGGTTCATTGTAGGTGCTTCCTTGGAAGAGAATGGTTTAGCTCCTGTGAGGATGTAATAAAGAACCCTGACTTTCCTTTTCTCCAATGTGCCTCTCCTGTGTGTCTTCTAGTCTATGCGATGCCATCTGCTATGAGATCTAGAACCACAGCCAAACAGATAGTAGGTCCATGCTCTTGAATTTCAAAGGCTGTGAACTAAATAAACCTGGACTCTATTTACTTGACCCCTAGTACCCTGCCCTTCATAAAGTGGGCATTTATGTATTTTCTTTGTATGTTTGTTTTTGAGAACAGGTCTCACTGTGTAGTCCTAGGTGCCATGAAACTTGCTGTATAGACCAAGCAGGCCTCAACTTCACAGAGATTCCCCTGCCTTTGCCTCCTGAATGCCAGTAGTAAAGGTGTTCTCCCGTGTCCAGCCTTGGGTATTTTGCTAAGCAGCATGTAATAGACTATGAAGTCATGTGATGAGTGACTTATCAAGTGATTGGTGATTGCTCAGGATTCAGTTATCTGGATTTTTCTTCAAATATGATGGAGGGGACATCTGTAACCTTACCTCTTTACAAGTCTCTGTACCTGTTTGTAGGGGTGAAGGGGAGTACACTGGTAGGGTCTGCTTCATGCCACCTTCTCCCCAGTCTAACAGTGACTTCTGAGTGTAATCCACAGTAAGACAGATCTCATAATAAGTGAGAATATTTGCCAGAGGTGAAATATTCATAACCTGTTAGGAGTCAAGCCCCAGAATTCATTTTTGGCTTTGCCAGTAACTCCGTGTAACTGTCCCCCATAACTTGAATAGATTCAGTCTCTAATGTAGACTTTTTTCTTTCCTATTCCAAGAATTTAAAAATAGCCCTTATTTGTCCTATGATTGCTGTTATCTGGTGTGCTATACTCCTAGTTCAGTTCCGTGGCTTCAGGCCACTGTGCACCCAAGAAGACCTTGTGTCTTCTTGAAGACACAATTTTGTTTTCCCTACACAACAATGTCTCGTGTAGTTGTGTTTTCTTTTGGTAGCTGTCAGATGTGTAATTGAATCAAATGAATCATTGGGTTCTATTCTGAAGAGTCTATCCTGCTGTCAAGAGCCTCCTTGGGCTTTCTTTCAGACACTGAAATTTCCTTCCTTGGCAGCCTTTTGTGTCTACGTTTCATCTGGGTTTACAGGCTTCATTTGCTGCAGATGTGATGTCCTGACTAGGGTAGGACCACCTTATGCAGTGTCCCACTGTGTGTGATCTGCAAAGAGACCACAAGTTTCAAAGTAGCAGAGAAAAGACCCATGTGAAGCTCTTCCTCAGTGCTCTCTCATCTAGGTACAACTGGAAGACCTCTGTCGAGAAAGCAGACGTACCTCTCGGAGTGTGGAGTGCCTTCATGTGGGGGTTTCTTCTCCGGGCTCAGTGAGTCCTCAATGCTGCTGCTACTGCAGGGGGAGTAACAGAGAAGAGAGCACATGAGCCAGTGGGACCCTCAGGTCCCTCGACCAGCAGGAAAACATGACGAGTTTCACTTCTTGTACATAGGTGTGGGTTTTATATGGAAACTTCCAGGAGCCCAGACTCTGAGGAAATCAGAAACTAAATGTGCTGGCTAGTTTTATGTCAAGGTGACACAAGGTAGAATCATTTGAGAAATAGGGACCTCAGTTGAGAAAATGCACCCATAAGATCAGGCTGTAGGAATGTCTGGAGGGCATTTTCTCAGTTGGTGATTCACATGGGAGGGCCCAGCCCTTTGTGGGTGGTGCCATCCTAGGCTGATGGTCTTGGAGAAAGCAGACTGAGCAAGTCATGGGCAGTAAGCCAGTAAGCAGCACCCTCCATGGCCTCTGCATCAGCTCCTGCCTCCAGGTCTCTGCCCTGGTTGAGTCCCTGTCCTGCTTCCTTCAGTGGTAGACTATGATGTGGAAGTGTAAGCTAAATACTTTTCTCCCCAAGTTGCTTTGGTCTTGGTGCTTGGTCCCTACAATAACTCTGATAAGGGCAGAAACTGGTACCAGGATAGTGGGTATTGCTGTGACCAACCTGACCATGTTTTGGGGAGGACTGTGGAACCCTGGGTTAGAAAAGCCACTGAGTGTCCAAAGCTTGGGCCGTTCTGCGGGAGCGTGGACAATAAGAACGCTGAGAAGGGTGCGGATAATGGAGGCCTGGCCTGGGAAGTTCCCGAGGGAAGTTTGAGAGCGCGTCCTTAATGACTCCTCTAAGGGCTTTTGCATATTCTGAGTTGAGAATCTGTGGTTCTGGTTAGCTGGGCTGAAATATCAGTGGTGATTAGTAAGGAACCAGAAGTACTGAACTGAAACTTTTGTTTTGCTGAGGTACTTGATGCTGACCAGCTGCGGCTGAAGAAATCAGCTCTGAAAAGAAAGCTGCATCACTGAGGTGAAGTCTGGTGGAAGTGTTTCTTCTGGGTCAGCACGCAGAAGCTGTGTTCCAGAAGAGGCCAAGGCTGTAACTCATGCTGGCAGCTGAACTTGGTAGTGTAAGAGTCACCCAGGTGCAGTGGTAGGTCATGGAGAACAGCTAAGGCCTGGCACTGTGAGGCAGGGCTGCAGGCCCTGAAGAGAGCCTGGAGAGGCTGTTGGTGAAAGTGCAGCCCAGTTGCAACTAGAGACTCTGGTACTTTTGGAGATTCCAGTACCATGAAATGAGCACCAAGGACAGCAGCAGCTGTACCGTGGAGCCAGCTAGAGCCTTGAGGAGACAAGCCGTGTGTGCTGCAGAAGGTAGCACTGGAGAAGCAGCCCAAGCACGTTGGAGGACCCCAGAAGATGGTGAGTGGATCCAAATACTGGATACTGAGTTGTTAACAGTTGGAGTTTGGTTTTGCTTTGATTTGATTGTGACTGTGCCCTGGTTCTTCCCTCTTGAAGTAATATATACATTTATTTATTTTATAGGCACCCAAGATTGAGACATTGGATTGTTTTAAAGTTTCAGTTTTAGAAGAGACTGGGTGTTTAAAAAGCTTAATTTTTAAAGACTGGGACTTTTAAATTCTAGGATTTTTTAATATAATGTAGATATTAACATGTGATCCAGAGGATGGATAAGAAAGGAAAGGTTATGGCTTACTAGGGGTAGGCTTGTGTATCGGGTTGACAAGGGATCAACCATACTGGTTAGAGAGGTAGGTGGGTGGTGTTGCACTGAAAAGAGGAAGTACCTTCCTGCATGGCATCAGATCAGAAAGCGAGCAGACAAGGGAATCATGAAAGAACATGGAGGCTAACAATTATTTTCCGTCACCTAACTACACAGAAAACCTGCAAACCCATAAATCATGCATTAGGAGGCATCTGCAGTATGCCTTCATTCACTGGATTACCCAGTAGCTACTCTCCACTGAGTCCTGAATGAAGGAACGGGATGCAGGAATGAAGGCAGCATTGGGCCTGGTACAGGCTATGACAAAGCAGCTGATGCTTGTTCTTACCTGCCATAGTGCGGAAACACTGGCTTTCCAGAAGCCACTTCAGTAGCATCCATGTACTCCTTCACGAAGAGAATCCCTTTGCTGTAGAAGGAGCATATCAGAATAGGATGTGTACTCGAAGATTCCAGGGGACTGGGCCTGGCCCAAAGAGGAGGGTCAGTGCCCCTGCCCAGTTTGATGGAAATGCAGAAGCTCACGAGAGGGGCTAGTGGGCTCCACAAGCCAGGCTGCAAGGGTAGCCGCAGACAGAGATGCCAGGCTGTTGATGCCATTGGACACGTGGCCTCAAATCTTAGGCCCTGGGTTCATTTTGTGTATGGTTTGAGAGATGTAAAAGATGGCTCCCTGAACCAATGGTAGCACACCCTCTTCCATGGAAGCTCGAGCCCCCAGCCCTCTCCCAGACTTGGGTGTTGCCGGCCCTCTGCTTTCCTCTACCTCTTCTGTGGCTGAGTCTCCTTCCACATTCCACCTACAATCAGAATGTTGTCAGTGGCTGAGTGACAGATGGCTGGTTCTTTCCACTCAGCACCTTACCTGCAGCATCGACGCGCTACTTTGTATTTCCTTATCAATCATGTTCTGGGGACCTACAAGTCACCTCACTCTCTGCTTTTGGGAAGCCTTCCAAGCTTTGGAAACTAGTTCTGCTTTATCATGGTTCAGTGTAGTCCCATTGTTGACCTGCAATTCCATGCTCCTGACCCCTGGCCTGATATCAGCAGAGAACTGTTTTGGTATCTCAGCACATACCTCTTATTCAGCAGGGTACCTAGACTGGCATCCCTTCTTGTAGACTAAAAGGTGAAAGAGTGGAAGAGAGAGAGAGAGAGAGAGAGAGAGAGAGAGAGAGACCTGGCCTCCCTGGCTTTCATGGGTCTTCCCAGGCATGTCCCTCAGGGATGCTAGCAAGGCCCTGCAGATGGCAAAGCCTTGCCACCAGCTGCATCTCCTAGTGTCCTATAAGTAGCTTCTTGTTGAGATGTGGAGAAGGAAAGCATGCTACAGGACCATGTCCAATCCTACCAGTACGCTTGGGAAGTATAAGGTTTATACTTGTGCAACTAAGAACTGTACTATTTCTGCCCATTTGCTACTGGGATGCCAGGAGTTGAAGGAGACCTCATAGAGAAAGCAACACAGAACAAAAGTGACATCCTTTACTTGCAAGGAGGTTATGTGGAACCTCCATGAGTAAGAACATCACAGCTTAGTTGCCCTTCTTACGTAGTTGAGCTGCAGTCCAGCTCACTTGAGGCAGTTGGCATGCGCAGCTCTTCAGAAGCGGCAGCAACATTAACCGTGACCGCGAAGCTTGAAGGGCTCTGCAGCCTGGTAGAAATGGAGAAAAGAGTGAGCTTGGCTCTACTTTATGAGTTAAATAGTGCTTTATGGACTAACCTCAAGTTTGCTACTTCAAAGCCTTTGAAATCATGCCAGTGTTTGGGTAACAGTAGCTGCTCTTGAATGTTTCTCAGAGATTAGTGAGTGGAGCCTCTCTCTATGCAGAAGAGAAAACCCAGGTAGGATGGGGAGAGACACTGCCTAAATCAAAATGATTCAGGGTGAAACGTCTTTCAATCTCTACTGTGATTTCTGGACTACAGCCTAGAACCTTGGCATCAGTAACGTATCCATCAGGCAGCCAGGATCTCTTGCTGTCTCAAGAAAAAAATTATAAAAGATAACTGATGCCAATTTAGACCCACATACATGCATCTGCACCCACCTTGTATGTGCACATGCAAACACATGCACACACCACACACACACACCACATGCATACCCATGCAAAACATTAATAAAGTGGAGAGAGATAAACACACCTGGGCTCATCTTCTGGCCTCCACATACCCATAGATGGGTAAGCATGTCTGCATACACTTAACACACACACACACACACACACACACACACACACACACACACACACAAAGGATGCCAGCAGTAAAGAGACAAAAAAAAAAGGAATAAAGGAGACTTCCCAGTATCTGCAATGTAAACAGCAAGAGGTCTCCATAGTTCTTCATCCTTTCCAATGACTCCTCTCCCTAACCTACAAGGCCTGCCTCTGATCACCTTCCTCTATTCCCATCAGCCACAGGGCATTTCTTTCAGGCCCTCGGTCCTCTTCTCTCCCAGCTGCTACCGGCCTTCCCTGTTAACAACACTTTGCCTGATCCTCTCGGCCCTAGCACAGGTTTTTTTCCTAGGCTGATAACAAACAGAAAAACAGTATGCACACCTTGGCAATTAACAGTGCAGGCTCTGGCCTCTGATTGTATCCTAATTCCTGTTAAGACTCTTGGAACTGAGAGACCCGGGAAGCAAAGGTAAGAACAAGACAGTGGGTCAGAATCAAGTCGGAGGGCAGAATAGCCAGGACAGCCAGGAAAAATAGAGAAAGTCATACTAGACTTCAGAAAATAGTTTTTTTTGTTTGTTTTTTTGTTTTCCAATGAGAAAAAATATTGTATAAGCACCCTTGGTGTAGCCAGGCCCTGCTTATCTGAGGCCAGGCGTCAGAAAGCTCCCACTCTGACCATCTTGGTGGGGGTGGCAGCCTTTAATTAAGGCAAATACGTTTCAACCACAACCCCATGAATGCAAAACTCCCCCAAGCCCACATTTTCAGGCTTCAGTGGCTGCTGCACTGCAGCCCTGTTCTGACATATGATGCAAAGACTCTTCCTAGCTCACTCTGCTTCCTGCTGCTCTCTAGCCCCTCAGGCCTGTGCCGTGGGGGCGGGTGGCCAGTGCAGGCTCTTACTTGGTATTATCCAGTTTCATTTGCTGCTCGGGTCCGCTGGGGCTGCTCTGTGGCTCTGGAGTGCTGGGATCTGCAAGTTCTTGACTAGACACAGCTTGGTCCCCTTGGCCACCTTGTAGGACCTCAGGTGTCTCCTGCCAGGCCTCACATATCTTGGGGGTCACATTTTCACAGGCCGCCAGAGTGCTGAGAAAGTATATATTATATATATGTTATATATACATGTGTGTGTGTATTATGCCAAGAGGAGCAGAAGCCTGACCTTGCTGGGTCTCTGGGGTCTGGCTATCACTTCCCAAGGGCATTGGGTAACCCATCTCAAGAGCCAAGCAGACACCTAACTCTCAGAAAGCAGGCAGTATCAAAGTGGCAATCAGAGAAAAAGGTTTGGTTTCCATGGCTTCAGTTTTTACTAATTCTTCCATTTATCCAAACATTTACTTCTTGGTACCACACCCAAATCATCTTCATTTCCCCAGGCCCTCCAGTATTTTCCTTCAAATTTCTGGCCTAAATGGCTTCGTGTCTCTCTGATTTTTACCATTGATGGTTAATCTTGACTGCCACTTGATGGGTTTAAAGTCATCTAGAAGGCATTCCTCTGGGCAGATATATGGGGGGGTTCCTAGAGACATTGACTCAAGGAAGGAAGGTTCTCCTTGAATCAGGGTGGCAGCATGATTGGGACGCTGAACCGAATAAAACAGTCAAAAGGAGGCGCAGAGCTGAGCGGCTGTAGGAGAGACTCAGCATATGTTTCTTGCTCAATATTGTTTGTTATATTTATTATTTGTTACTATTGTATATAGTTGTATTTGGTTTGGCTCTATCTTATTTAGACAAAAAGGGGAGATGTAGGAGAGACTCAGCCAATCACCTTACTTGTAGGGTGGGGTCCCCAGAGGATATTTTTTACTTATAAAGATTGCAGGCACGCTCCATGCCGCCCCTTCTGCTGTCCTGTTCTCCACTGGAACCTCTGGTTCTGTAAGTCTATTTCCCAATTAAAGCTGTATATATTTATTACAATTTCTGTCTGCATTCATTTACGCCGGTACAAGCGGCATTCAGCCTGGCTTCCTGATTGCACTCGCAGTGTGAGCTGCTGTCCCATGCTCTGATGCCTTCTGACCGTACCGGACTGTTTCCCTCAAGCTGGGCGTCCAAGTCAATTCTCCTGTTGAGAAACTGCTCCTTGCAGGTGGCCACCGCAAGGAGAAAAGCAATTAATGGAACTTTTTTCCCATTTCATGTCCTTGCTTAGGACTTTAGAAGAGAGGACACTCAATTAGTGCCTCTGTTTTTCTCATTTTGAGTTAAAAAGAAAATAGAAATGGAGAGAAACACCTACCGATGAAGGTTGGGAGCCTACAAGTTTGGAACCAAAGGGCAGGCTCCCTTTATATCCCTGAACCACATGGATTTTCCCATCAAGCTGATAGCGACAGCTATCCAGACAACTGGGGATTTTGTGGAAAAACAACAAACCTGTTCTCGAACACTCCCTTCACGTGTAATCTATAAGCTAACAAACCTCGACACTCTAGACAGAGGTCACATCTTTACTCTACTCCAGCTTACTGGGCTGACCTGTCACCTGGTGCCCCTACAGGCACTTCAAAGTCAGCAAGACCAATGACCTGAACATCACATCTGCACAGCAACTCCTCAAGCTTCTGCATCCTCAGCCAGTTCCTTTCCGCATCCACCCTATCACCGCAAACAGAAATCTGGGCACTGTCTTTCTAGCGCTATTGCTTTTAATTAAAGTCAGCATCACCTGTAGCATTGCAGCTCACCTGCAGCCTGAGCCACAACCTCCGCATGGGTCTCCTGCCTTGTGCACTGCGCATCTCCCTGACCTGACACCCCATGCAACTTATCTCCTACATGAAACCAAGTTGGTTGGCCCTCTGGCTCCTCGGGAGCAAGTGATTGCCTAGCCCCTCCCAATGCTTCTTGGCAGGCCACCAATTAGTTTTCATTCCTTGTAGTCTCCCCTACCCTTTGCCTCTGGTTTCCTCAACCTGGAATGCCTTCTCCAGCATGTCTATTGGGGGGAAATTCTCCTTAGCCTTCAAACCCAGCTCCAACCTCAAGCTTCCTGGAAAGAAATGCCCATCCATCACCAAAGTAAAGGACAACAGGACCAATCACCTTCTCCTGCATCTGTAGGTTGCGCTTTTTAAAACTTACTTTAAAATTTTCTGTTGTTTCTTCATTGTACCTGGTACTGTGTCACAGAAGGACAATTTTTTTTAAAAAAATTTTAAATTTAAAATCTAAAGCATTTTGTATACTGAGCCCATTTCACTTTCATGCCATTGATTTTGTGTACCTTTTCTTTCTTTTATTTTTTAAACAATCTAGGAACCATAAAAGAGAGAAAACATGATTATTTATCTTTCTGGGGCTGGCTTAGTATGATGACCTCCAGTAACACCCTTTTCCTGCAAGTGATGTAACTTTTTTTATGGCTAAAAAGAATTCCACTGTGCACATGGAGCGCATGTCCTTTATCCATTTCTCTGGAGCTGGAGACCGAGGCTGCCTCAATCCCTTGACTGTTCTGAATAGTAGGCTTCAGGTTTTATCGCACTGAAGGAAGAAGCCACATGATTTGACAGTTAAGTACGAAGTTGTTTAGTCAATGTCCTTGCTCAACTGTACCTTCTCCTGTCTCCCTGGTTCCTAGAGTCTTGACTCTTCTCAGTATCTTTGTCTTCTCTGAGGAATCCTTTGCTTTGCTCCTCATGACTGCCTAACACTTTTGTTTGCACCCTAGAACTCACCAAGCAGCACAAGGACTCTGCATGTAATGGTCTGCGCGCGTGCCCAGAGATGTGTGGGCTGGCAGGCAAAGAGCATTCTCGAGAGCCTGGCCTTCATGGTCACCTCTATCCCAGTCCCAGTCCCCATCTGTCATGCGGACACAGACACCAACACCAACATTCTTCTTCACCCTTTCTCTCCCTTCCTCACAGTCTATGGAACTCATACTCTGTGTCATACTTTGACACCATCATTGTATAAATGAAAATAGTCTTCACCATCCCTAGGACCCCACACACAGACACTCTGAGAGACAGACTTCCCTCCTGCCTCGTGCACTGGGAAATGGCCAGGCTTCTTGCAGTGATCACAGCCCCATCCCAGCTTCCTAATCCCAGGAAGCTGTCAGTGCTGCCTGAGAAAAGAAGCCAGGCAGTGGCTGGGCCAGTGTGTCACACAATGGCCTGGACTGAGAGAAGCAGTTCCCTTCTACCGCGTGACCATCACACACACCTTGGCCACAGGCATCAGAAGGCCAGGGCTTACCTGCTGGTACGGGCCTCAGATGGGACGAGCTGACCGAGTGCACTGAAGTTGTTCCCCAGCTCCAGGGTGCTGGGATCTGCAGGCTGTTGAGGGGCCACAGCTGGGTCTCCCTGGCCGCCTTCTGTAGTACCATATGTCTCCTGACAGGCCTGGATGGTCATGGGAGCCATGTTCATTTCCCCATCAGCTGAGGGGCTGAGGAAGAAAAAGTATCATAGAGAGAGAGTCCCAGGGGACTGTTCCACCGCACTCTACTGGCATCTTCCATGGCCATAGGATGGGATACTCTCATCTAAAGAGAGGAGCCAGGTACTGCTGCTCCCTTGTCACTAAAAGGGATTGCCCCATGTGTCACAAACATAGTAATGTTATCCCTGAAGCACCCGCGCTGCACACTCCATGGCAGGGGCCACAAGAAAGGCAGCAAGACGCCCTTAGATGGTGTTCCCCTCCTCCCACCCTCCCTTGTCTTCAAGCACTGAGACTGGGACCCTGGTATCCCAGCATTCCCTCCTGAGTCCCTCCCTAATTCCACCCTCCCACAAGAGAAGAACATGACCACTATCCCTGGACCGCATCTGTGCACATCAAGCCCATAGCAGGCAGAGCTCTAAGCTGCTGTATCAAAAAGAATGAGTGGTAGCCATGATTTTCAGCCTCAGCTGAGGAGAAGCTGCAGCTGTCACGTCCAGCTCTATCGGGAAGAAGCAGTAGTAGAAACAGAGGTTGTCCTGGCCAAATGAGCCAACAGAACAAAGACTCTCCAATGCTAAGCCACTGCAACTTCAGGAGCTGTAAACTTTATAGGTCATGAAAAAGAGCGAGCAGCCAGACACGCCCAGGAGGCCCTTCTGTGCAATATAGCATCCGGGAGGGGGTGTCTTAGTTTCCTGCTGAGCTGCTTGCAAGTCCGGTGGGCCGAGAGAAAATTGCAGCAAAGGAGGCCTTTGAAGGCCTCTGAAGCCTGCACAGAATCTGGTGGCTTAAGACAGCCACTGCCAACTCTTGACCTAGCTACACTACTTCATTTAGCTTGACGGTTTTATAAAATGAGTATTTGATAATATTTTGTGACCCCCCAAATGTCCTGTGTGCTTTACATATGTAAACCCATTTATTCTCTTTAAAGTCTATATAGTAGGAGCTATTTCTGTTATTGTTCCTGTACGAGCTGAGCAGCACGCCAAAGGGCCCAGAGAGTTAAGTCAAAGCTTCAGAATCCAAGCTCTCAGCCCTCTATGCACAATCAAATGAACACTGGGCAAAATCCCTCTAGCTTCTGACAGTTAAATTAACTCTATCACCTGGGCAAAGTTTTGCCCCGTGGCTGGTCCTGACCTCATGCTTCTCAATTAGTTTGTTTATCAAATGTACAGGGAACTGTGAAATTACACAGTAGAGTCCCTGTTCAGGAGAGAGAGGTCAGTCATGAATGACCTTGAGGTCCAGCCGGTACTGTAGTAACCCCTGCAAACAGCCCAGGTGAGGCCATCCATAAATTGGCCACTGTAGCCAACCACACCCTCCCGCGCCCCCCCCCCCGCCACGCAGAGATGGGGGGGGGATGGGCAACCACGATCATTTGTGATCCTCCAGCGCTATCTTGTGGCTGGCGCAGGAACTGCTGCAGGAGAAATCCTGTTGACGCTAGTCTCCGGAGCAGCCATTTCGCCTGTCTCATACCCCAGCTAGCTCATGGCTGCAGGAAATGGCTGCGCGAGTAGGCGGCGTATTCACACCCAAGCTCTGGACTAGACACCGACGCCCAGCGCATCATGCGCATGCGCATAGCCGCAGGCAGAGCACCAAATTGTAGACCTGCGCAGTTGAAGTGTGCGACAGTCTAATTAGAATAGGTACAGGCGCACGCGTTCTGTACCAGCGGTGCGTGTTTGCGGCAGTCTGATTGTACCTATGGTTCACTTTGACATTTTCAGTGTGTGTCCCCGAAGAGATGGTAATAGAGGAAGCCTTGTCAACCTTAATACAATGAACATTGTAGACTGGATAAAGCTAGTGTGTGTGCTGAAAAGAATCAGGTAACATTTTCACTTGTTTAGCAGCGCCCAGATTCCTATCCTTTAGAACCCACTCTTGGCTGTGACATCCAAAAATAACTCAGCTTATTATGAGACCACGCAGGAAGGTAGGGGGTAGGCAGAGCAAACCTCTGATTAAGAATTGCTATCCTAGTAATTAAAGGCATGGTGGCACACACCTTTAATCCCAGCACTTGGGAGGCAGAGGCAGGTGGATCTTTGTGAGTTCGAGGCCAGCCTGGTCTACAGAGCAAGTTCCAGGACAGGCTCCATAGGTACAGGAAACCCTGTCTCAAAAAACCAAAACCCAAAACAAAACAAAAGAACTGTTACCCTTAGATTGGTTCTCAATGTATACTGGAGAAGAGAGGAAATTGGTGAGCTTAAGAAAAATACTGGAGACATACACTCAGAAAATTAAACAAAAGTCTCAGAGAGTGTTATTAACTTTCCCAGGCGAGGGGCTGGAAGAGCAGGTAAGAGCACTGTCTGCTCTTCTTCAGTTGCTAGCACCCATATGCAGCTCAAATCATCTGTCTCTGGGGACCCACTGCCTTCTAACGTCCACTGATACTGCATGCAGGTGGTGTGCAAACATGCATGCAGGCAAAACACCCATACACAAAAAAATTTTAAATTTTTAAATAGAAAAACCCTAAGAGATTCTTAAGCACAGCCAGAGTTAGGAAACCCCACCATCAGGAGCTTTTGCATTGGTTCTTCAAACTGGTAAAGAGCAAAGGAATGTACTGCTTGGAACCGAACTCTACAACTGGTTTTGGATAAGTCACAGCCTTTCTCTTTGCTTCCCCATTTCCCCATCTCCTAGTTATCAGAACAACTTACAGCACATAAAGACAACATACCGTGACTATCATCAGCTAATATTTTCAGTGAGTGCTAATTGTCAGTGCAATCTAAGAGAAGCAACGTTGTATAACAAGGCTTGTGACTTCAAGGGACATTGTCCACACCACTTTAGAGTAAAAAGACAACTGTAGTGTACTGTGAAAATCTAAACACCCATTCACCTTTAAGTCCATAAGCACAGTAGTCTCTTTGGATTAAAACCTGATTGGTAAAGTCTTGTTAATAAACGAAACAAGGCCCTGTTCTCATTAGTCACCAGCTACTCTATGCGTTGGAACACGCTAGGCACATTTCCGCCACAGCTCTGTAGCTTCAGCTGTCCCCTTCTTTCTAGGCTTGATTCTCTTTGTGCTCTGGAGCTACTGCCACCACCCCTACAATCCCTTTAACAAGCATCTCTAGTTTAGAACCATGGCTGTTATCTTCAGACACTGTTCCTCCAGAAGACATGGGGAGGGACCTGGGTTTCAAGCCTTTGTTCTACAAACTAGTCATAAATCTGAAAGGTTCCATGGAAACAGAATAAAAGGCTGTGGCAGGAGAATGGATCATGGAGAAAGAGGCATCGAGATTAGCATAGCAAAGAAACCACTGTGAGAAGACGGGACCTCTCCACACATACATCGCAGGCTGCATGTAATAAGATGAGTGAGAAAAATTTCATGATTCAAATGTGTGAGTGTGTGGGCCTATGTAAATGACCCATAAAGGATCAAGATTCTCCTTGTCCAAGGCTTTTGGGCTTCAGAACATTTCTAGATCTGATCCACTTCCATTCTCTTTTCTCTACATGTGTACACACAGACATATATACACAGACGTGTGTGTGTGTGTGTGTGCGCGCGTGTGTGTGCGTGTGTGTGTTTGCATATGTACCTGCACATCTGGAGGTTAGAGGACCACCCCAGGTGTTACTCCTTAGTTACAGCATCAACTCCTTTGAGACAGGGTCTCTCACTGGCCTGGAGCCCACAGACCAGCAAGACCCAGAAAGTCTCCTGTCTGCACTTCCCCGATGCTGGGATGCCAAGCGTTTTGTGTGAGTTCTGGAGGTGGAATACAGGCCTTAGTGCTTACAGTATAAGCACCTTGCTAGCTGAGCAATCCCCTCAGCTCCCCACTTCTCTTCTCAGGAATGATCTTCTCTTTCTTAATAAACTGTATCTACTTCTACTTCTATCTCCCTGGTTCTATTCTCATTGCTCGAGAGGCTGTCGGTTTCCACTCTCCACTAAGCTATCCCAAAGACCCCTCCTCTGTCGCAATGATTTGTTAGTCAGTGAGAGCTCATTGAAAGCAGAAGCATATCTTCATTGTCTGTGGCCCAAGTGCCACACCAACACGGAAGGAAAGTGACCTCACTGGACTAGAGAGTGCTTCATTGCAAGCAATGATATGTAACAGAAGGCTTCCTGGTACAGACAGTGACCTCGCTGGACTAGAGTGCTTCATTGCAAGCAATGGTATGTAACGGAAGGCTTCCTGGCACAGACAGGCCAAAAAGTTCCAGCTGGATCTTTTGTCTCTTCATATATTTCAGGCCAGCTCACAGACATAGCTGGCTTCATCTTCCTAGCCAAAGCCTGCTAGCTACCCAAGCCGCTGGGTTTCTAGCACTGTCTGCTAATGCCTTACCCCTTGGAGTCTGCTGCGCTGTTGCTCTTCTTGACATTCAGAAAAGAAACTATCATGGCGCCAGACCTGAGGGAAGAAAGCACAAAAGTCTGCTAAGGCTCAGAATAAGGAGACTGGGCCCATGGCTTCCCCTTTGCCAGGTGCCTTCTCAGGGGAAAGGGACGGACTGAGTTTGTCAGTAAAGACTGTCCTGTCTTTGATTCCGCCAGTCACTGCCATTCCTAGTGCTGCCTGTCTGTCTCTCCCTGAGATTTCTTTCCCACAATCCAGCTGGTTGGGGCAGATTACAGTCTTTACAGGAGGGGTTCACCGAGAGTGGCTGCTCAGCCCCCTTTTCCACAAATCTCCACCACTATCCCAAGTGGGTGCATGTAGGTTGGTGCTGAAATTTCTGGGCCAACAAACTCATCACATGTCCCTCTTGTAGTGCTTTCAATGTCAGGGATGCAGTTCTGGGTCAGCAGGCTTTTGGTCCAGCTATGACTATTTGAAGGGGCAAAGGTCTGAAGATAAGGGGATCCTTGGCCACTGGAACTGAGAAAGCTGGGAGAGCTCTGTGTGACAGCAGGGTCAGTTCCTGAGGTGCTGGCTGCACAGTCACTCGGACCTAGAAAAGGAGTGAAGCCAGCAGCTGAGTTCAGCCTGTGGAAGGGAGCAAAGCTAGTCTGAGGTCACAACTCTATGGCCCTAGCAGACGCTGGGCAATGAAGAGCTGCTCACGTAGATGGTTGGGGGTAAGACTCACTTTCATCCCCAAACAGCCCATTATCTGGGGTAGCATAGTGTGGACTCAAACCACAGTTTTGATGTCTCTAAGCTCTGGGATCTTGTTTGGTCATCAGTTTTATCAGTTAATAAATTATGAATGATAATTATATCTGTCTCATGAGCATTCTCAGTTCATAGCCAGCTACTTCAAATAACATTTGGGTCATAGCATCTGCTAACATGTTCTCCACTCCTGCTGAGCTCTATCTATGGTCACCGTTAAAAGCATAGCTCCTTTACAATCCATCTGTACCTGCCCAGTGGATCTGATATAGCACTCTCTAACCTAGGCTTCCCGGACCTAGGCCCCATCTTCTTTCCTGGCAGACTGATGTTCACAGTGCACCCATCACTTAAATAAGCCCCTGCCTTCCATATGAACAGAGCCCTTTATGTTGGCTCCTAAGACTGCTTATGTTAGTTGTGCAATTATAAGAACCAAGTTCGACTAATGAGTAATCTCATACAAATGACTGGGAAAGGAGGGTAGTGCTTTCCAGGAGGGCAACTTACAGTCTGGAAAGATTGTAAACCATTTTCTTTTTTTAATATTTATTTTATTTATTTATTATGTATACAATATTCTGTCTGTGTGTATGCCTGCAGGCCAGAAGAGGGCACCAGACCTCTTTACAGATGGTTGTGAGCCACCATGTGGTTGCCGGGAATTGAACTCAGGACCTTTGGAAGAGCAGGCAATGCTCTTAACCACTGAGCCATCTCTCCAGCCCTGTAAACCATTTTCTTAAAAACAAGCAAACAAAAAGCAATTGGGTGGGAGGGATGGCTTAGATGACGATGAAGAGTTTGTCTTATAAGCCCAAGACCTGGCTTCAATTCAATGCCCAGGACTCATATGCAAAACAAAAAGCCAGATGTGGAGGTGTGCATTTGTGAGCCCAGCACAGTGGAGGAAGAAACAGTCAGACCCCCGGGGCTTGCTAATTGGTAAGGCCCAGGTCCTGGTATGAGACCCTATCTCAAATCACAAGGTGTACGGCGCCTAAGAAACAACGCCAGAGGTTGATCTCTGGCCTGAACACACATGCACACACATAAGCATCCACATGAACACACATACACTTGTACACACAGTCAAAACTAGTATAAGACGACTGTGACGGACTACACTAAGCATCCTACAAATCTAGAAGATTCTTCATACTATTTTGCAAATGACTTTGAGGTTTGGTCTCACTCTAAGGAAATGGATTTGTTTTATGAGGAGTTTGGACTTAATTTCAAGTAAGAGGGGGGCCACTGGGAAATTGAAAGTGGGGATAAATGTATCCTGGTTCATTTTGGGAAGATTTTCTGACACCTGCACAGACAGCAGAATGAACCAAGTCCATGACCCAACGGCCTTTCCTAGACCTGCTCAAAAGCAGATTTTAGAGGTGGTGCCTACTATGTCTGGTTCTAGGCACCCACTGCAACTAGTTAAGTTAGTAAGAAATCCAGTTGGGGAAGCAGCCAGAAGAGCATCCTACCAGGATCCTTCTGGGTAGACTTCAGGAGGTCATGGGGTTGGGCCGGCCCTCCAGCAGTTTCAGCTCTCTACAGACCAACCATAATGTTGTTCGTACAGTTTGAAACTGTACTATTATTTTGCCAACATCTGTATAACTAGCCTTTCTCTCCGGGGATGATTCCTCAAATCACCCGCTAAGAGTGGCTCCTGACTCAGCCAGGGCTTCTTTCACTCGTCTACTTCTTTCAGTGACTCTCAGAACATTTGATCAGGGAAGAGTGTGAGGCAAGCAAGAGATGGAGGGGCTTCTTCCTCTTCTGGAAAGGGAGAAAGAGGCAAAGGGACCCTAGATTTGTCTTCAGAGCTCAGCCATGAAGGAAGAAGGCACTGATTCTTCCATTTTTATGCCATTTGTTAGTTTGTTTCTTTTAGTTTATTCCACCCAGGGCCAGTCCTTGCTGAGGGCTAGGCCTTTAGCTGGGAGTTAGCGGCTTGCATTAGCTCTGGAGGAATCGGAGAGTCAGTAATGGAGGTGTGGCAGTGGCGAGACTGAAAATCCAAGAGCAAAGGACGGGGGAGTACCGGAGAGATGAGTCCCGATCCCAGCAGTGCAAGCAGTTTGGCCGCTTAAACCTGGTCTGTCACAGGGATCTGTGAGAACTGTCTCCCACTAGAATCTTACTCTTTTTGCTCTGCACCCGCGCCTGCTCCAGCCAAACCTTCTGGTGGGGCTTCTGGGGCTTCTGGTTCCTCACTGCCACCATCCAACTGTGCAGCTGATCTGATGTTGGAAGAGAAGCATTTGTTGACTTTAATCAGGCGCAACCTTGTGTAATTTCGATGTCTTGAGTGTATGTCTGATAACTTGGGAGCAGAAGTCTTTGCTTAGCTCCCTAAACTGCTCTGATCAGAGTCAATACAAGCCTAAGTGGACTCTTTCAGCAAGTATTTCTGTTTCACTCAAATTTAATGGGCAAGGAACATGAACAGAAACCAAATGAGCTAGAAACTCAGGGGGAGGTAGCCACATTAGTGGCCAATGCTCACCAGAGCAAGAGACAGGGAATTGGGGTGCTAGCAAGTCAGAGAGGGCAGACAGAAAAACTTCCCTTCCTCATCCATCTAAGGCCCCTTTCCCTCATTCTCAGGGTTCAGTCCACACTAGGGGTCTAGAGCTCCCAAATGAAAAGCGGGGGAGGGGGAGAATTGTGAGAGGGAGAGCCTGGTCTGGAGTTGGTGCCCCTCTGCAATTTGATATTTGGGGAGATACTACAGTTTTGCTCTCTCTAGGGCCCCCCTCTCTCCCCCTCCACTTTCCCCTCTGCAGACAGGTAGCAATAGTATAGTGCTGATCTTTAGTTCAGCTGCTGACTTTGGATCCAGGCCCATGGAAGCCCTTTGGTTGCATGCACATGGGTTTGTATTCTGGGGAAGGTCTATTCGCCACAGTGAGTTACCTTTCCAAATCTGTGTTGCAATTCTTAAACTTAGCCTCCCAAGCTGAATCTCTGTTGAAGTCTTCAGAGTGTGATGCTTCATTGGTTTTATGGGAAGGCCTGCAGAGGAAAGAAATGACTTAACTACTCCTCAACCACCCACACTCTGATGCTCACCTCATCCTTAGATGTTGCTTGTCTCTTAGGTGCTGAAAATTTGCTAATGATGGGCTGGCCAACTCACAAATACTCACTACTCCTCACTGGCATCGACTAGGGGCCAGACTCTATTCTTCCAACTTTCCACATGTTAATTCTCCACATCAGTTTCAAGACATGGGTACTATTGCCATCCATGCGCATTTTCCAGATGAGCCGCTTGATGCTCAGAAGGCCTGAGCGGTGTGCTCCAAGTTCCACAAGTAACAAGAAGAGCTGGAGCCCAGGCATCTGCCCTCAACTTTCTAATCCTAATTCCTCATCAGGGAGCCATGTTATCAAGTCCAGGAGTCAGTCTTGGCATTACTCTGGGTCACCCACCAGTGGGTCTCTCCCTCAGACTTCCAATCTCTCTTCCCTCAGTCCTGTGATACCCTCTGTTTCCCTGGTTCCATATTTCTGGTATCCTTTTATCTTCTCCACCTTATCTGTCCTTTACCAATTCATGTTCCAGTGTTCTTCCCTGTCCACATACTCCACCACCTGCTACTCACACTCCTTTCCTGCCATCATCTAATGATCTCCAAATGTCCCCACGCAGGAATGTGGAAGTCAGACAGAAAGAAAGGTGGCAGAGTGTTAGGTGATTGATGATGGAGCGCTGGGTAACACTGTCATCCATGCCTGGTTTCCAGATGTCCCACCTGATGCTCAGGAGACCAGAGAGCTGTGCTCCCTCGTCTGGGATCGTGCTGCTTCTCCCAGGAAAAGAGCTTGGACCTTTGTGTTCCTCATCTTAAGCACAGGGCACTGTGGCATTATAAGCCATGGAGGCTGACCCAAGAACCCCACCCCAATGCCTTCTCTTATAAACAAGACAATTAAAACCTTGCTTTTAAAATCCACAGACCCAGTGTCCCTACCCAGTTTGGCTGGTCAGCCCTGTCACTTTCTGAGGACATGCTATGGTCATGTAGGTTGATCTTGTCAGAATCAGTAGTTCTGTCCCAGGGAGTTCCAGTTACCACTGGGTCTCAGGGCCAGGCCTTTGGCCTGACAAAAACCAAATACTCATTACATAATTATTGTTGAATAAAATATGGAGAGACTGGAAGAGAATGCAGGTTGGCCACACCTTTTACCAACTAGTTATTCCCACAGTGCTAGACTGAGCCTCCTGCTTCCTACTCATCTTGAGAAAGGTGCAAAGGGAGGCAGGACAGCAATGGGGCCTCAGTACCTCAGGGCTTCCAGGTCTGGGGCCACCAGGCGGAGTCCTGCTCTGGGGGTTGTGATCTGCAAACGGACGATCTCCTCAGTTTTCAAACTGCGGGCCAAAGGAGAGACTGGAGAATTTTTGGGAGAGAAGCTTCCTCTTTCCCTCTGTGTCAGCACCCAAGAGCATTCTCTGTCTGGTGCTTAGCTGCAGTGTGATACTCAGACCCATCTTCCCAACCTCTCTGCCCTCATCTGTTCTTTGTTTGAGTCTTCTTGGCACTGTAACTAATTTCAAGTCACTGACTGTAGGCGGGTGAAAGGGTATTGCCAGTCTCCTACTTGGAGCTGACTCTAGGCCAATCTTAGAAAGTACAGGGGCTTCTAGATGGGCATTTGAACAGATGTGTCTGCTAAGAGGAAGCTGTGAAATGGGCTTGAAGTAGAGACGAGGGTTGACATTTTAGAAAGGCCACCAGGGCATGGGAGGCAGCAACCTGAAAGTGAGACAGGCAGAACTTAGATGACCTGGCACTGTCACCGCACCACTAGACCTTCCTAGGTTGCCAAACACAGCCAGTCAGACCAGCGGGAAACCATGTTACCAGCTCATAGTCCAGAGATGGTTCTTGAAACCCACCTGGGTTCCTGGCTTCCAGAGGGGCTGGGAACACTTGGTATGCACCCAAGTAGAATTGCTTGAGACACGTGGGCTCTTCCTCCATTTACACTGGCAAAGAAGGCAGATGTGAGAAGTGCTGGAGACAACAGGCCTGCCCCCTAGGTGGGGTAAACTTGGCCAAGTTAGGGAAGTACCAGGAGCAAGTGTAAGAATGGGACGCCACTGCAGTGGCCCATCTCTCACAGCTAAGGAGTGACTGTTACCTGCCAGAAACAGATCGTGCTAGAGCAGGGGGCTCCTGCTTTTTCTCGGGAGGCACATCCTCATCCACATCAACCCTGTGGGCAAGAAAAGTGGCCCCTGTGGTTTTCTCAGCTACCTTGGTGCTTTTACTTGTGTCTTGGCCACTCCAGCTCAGGGGGAGTGGGTAGGACATTATCACTGGGCTAGTCCCTGGATCCCAGGGAACTTCATTTGGAAATAGGTTCTTAGGAGATGTAAAAAGGCTAAGACGAGGTCCTGCTAAATTAGGAGAGGCCCTGAATCCAATGGCAATGTCCTTCTGAGACTAAGGAAATCTGGACACAGACACAGTCGATGTGAATGAAGAAGACATTAGCTTGGTGAGGCAAATATGATTTGTCCCAATCCTTCCAACACCCCAATTTCAGAGTTCTGACCTCCACTTCTGGGGTTTTAAAACATTCTACCCCATTATTGAGAGCTAAGAAGCACCCACTATTCTCTGGTACTTTGTGCTGCCACTCCCTGCTTTCTGGTCAGCAACTGTCACTCAACAGCACCCTATTTCCGCTCTGCTCTTTGCTCTGCCTAGGTATTGGCCTGAACACTGGTTCCTCACTGACTTTCCACCTACAGCTTATTATGGATGCCACCTTTGATGTCCACTCAACTAAAGGTCCCAGTCCCTCAGATTCACCTTCATATAAGTTTCTTCTCTATCTTCTATCCATCATTTTCCTCCGACAGAAATTGATCCTTGCCTCGCTCAGCTAGTAGTCTCCTGACAAAGCAATCATTCCCCTTTTCCCCGTTTGCCCTAGAGGACCAATCCATAACATCCTCATCAACTCCTAGGGAGCATCTCTTGGGGGTTCTGGGCAACAGGAGAGTACAGGGCAGGGCTATGACTGGGGAAGACAACTCTCTACGCTCCCTGACAGGAGGCTCGCTGCCTGGCTAGCATTTGGCTCCTGAGGCTTCCTTCCCTTGGTGATACTCACCTCTTTGCAATAAATGGGGCCTGCAGCTCCTGGGTAGGACTGCTAGAAAGGAAGCAGAGTGGTAATATGTTGGAAAAGGGCGGGTGCCATCTTATAGCCTCTCCTGCTCCCAGTACCTCCTGATTTTATTCTAAGAAGTACATCTGAGACTCGCCAGAAGGTCAAAGCTGGAATACCTTTATTCTTTCACCAGTCAGAGGAAAGCCGAAACCCCAGTAGAGGAGAAGGACCTCGGGTCATGGAGTCAGTAATGGCCAAGGCAGGCTCAAGCCCATGGGGCCTCATTCCTGCACAACTCACCTAGTGGACTTCTTAGCCGCTGAGAGGACATAAGAGTGTTCCCGTGGGGCCATCTTCCTCAAAACACCACTTGCAGCTTGTGACCTGGGGTGGTATGAGGTGAGGGCATCTGACGTGTGTCAAACTAGCCACTCTGCCAGTCTAGCCTTGGAGATTCACGGACTGACTCAGGAATACCCTCAGGGAGTTGAGGAGGGTAAGCTAGGATAGCACTGCTCTAAGAACTATTCAGAGGAACCATGGACACCAAGGGAAGGACCTTTTCTTAGGGAGCATGTAGCACATGTCAAGCCCAGCCCTGGATGCTGACATTCTCACACTGGTTCATCGATCCTCACAACCAGGCAAGTAGGTGCTGATATACTCTGTAACTGATGGAGCCTGGCCACTGCTCTGGTCGTTTGCCTAAGTGCACACACCTAAGCAAGTGTCAGAATGGCATTCAATGTGAGGCACCTCCAGAGTTTCTTATTCATTCCCCATGGCCCTGCACTATCCAGATTTCAAAGCTCATGCAACTGTGTGCTCTTTTTGCACAGAAGTGCCATCCTTCCAGGCCTTCAAAAGGGACTGTCACTATGCTTCCTAAAGCACATATGAGCTGGCTGATGCTGGCCTTTAGTTGGGCTCCTCCGTTGTAAGCAAGGGGCACTTGAAACTCTGGAGACCATTCCTGCAACCAAACAACACTGCAAACACAACACACCCAGAGATGGCGGGTGCAGACAGCCTTCCCCGGGGCACTTTACCCTGAATGTTATTCAAGTTTCTTGAGACAGTTTGAATCTACATGTGAGCCTTATCCATGGTCCTGTGTTTCCTAGATTCTACCCATGCAAGGTTCTCAGGAGCGTCTCCTGAGCTGGCCCAGCACTGAGATGTTCACGAACTTGTGGAATGCCAACTGGACCTACACACCATGAGTGTCCTCATGGATTATGTGCTATGCACTTTGTGCTCTGACTGGTAGAATCCTTTCCAGCACAGGCTCTGGCCCTGGCCATACTCATGGCTATGCTTATAAGGGCTAACATTACCTCCGTCTCTGTTCATCTGAGGTGAAGGGCACCTCCACTTCCTCGATCTCTGATGTGGAGCTGCGCCTGATGTTGTACGGTGCCCTGTGGGGGACAGGAACAGGTATGAATCTTCTTCCTCCATGTCCTTCCTGTTCCCTGTTGCAAGTTACTCCCCTTAGCACCTTGGCTTCTTGACTGCCAACACCACTAACAGGACGATGGGGCAAGGAATAAGCTGTACAAGGATGTGGAGTCCTGGGAAGTGCTGGCACAATCCAGACATTTGTCCAGAGCTCTCCTCCCGGGCCTGGGACCCTTGGAAGGAAGCTCAAGTGAAGCGAAGCTTTAGACACAAAATGCCCACAGCAATAGTCTATGGGGACAGTGACAATGTAAGAAACATCATGCTTCCAAGCATAGCTTAGCTGAAGCCAGCCCTGCCTGAGAACTTGAGACCTAAGAAGGGGCACAGGGGTATATCCAGAAAACACAGACAGTGAGCAGCAGGCCTCATGGCCATGGCTCATTGTCCATTTTCTAGAATGTGCTCCTTCCAGAAGTTCCTTACAGCTTTTGCTTTGCCTCATATAATTGTATTAGAAATAGCCATTCAATTTTCTAGAGCTGTGTCACCCTCTACTCCAGGCCACAGTTATAAGTGGCAAGGCTGTCAAGCCAATAAGACTAGATCTCCCCAGATAAGTGACTAGTTTAGAAGTAAGTGTCCATCTCCCCTCGATGGGTTCAGTGTCTGGGATCATTATATACTCACAGTTTCTTATAATCTTCCGTAGTCATCTTATAACCAGAGGAGTGAGGAGCAAAAGCAGAATTAGCTGCTCCCGGCAGTCCAGAAGCACTAGAAGAGCAAGACATTTCCATCTGCCCAACCACAGGTCAGCTCTTGCCTCTAACTTTACCCACACAGCCCCGTAGAGACAGGACGCAGGCCACTAGGACATGTTCTTCCTTGTTGTCAGCCCTGCCAGGCACTTTGAGCATGACAGACCCAGCTCCATCACAAGGAAACAGCCCGCCAGGCTCTCATTTGCATAATGACTAATTGCAAGGTGTTTACATAACATGCCTCCTTGGCATAGTAGGAAGGTGAACTAAGCACATGGCTTCAATATTCTCAGCAAGGTGCCAGCTGTGAAGCCAATGGGACATGGGGTAAGTAAAATAAAGGGCTGTGGGCACTAGGAAGTGGAGGCATAATCCACATCTCTATGCAGAGCTCCCCTCCCAGTCACTGCCCTTGGCCAGTGGCCAGAGCCAGGCAGGACATTCTCTTACTCCTCTGTTAGCCCTTCCTTGGTCTTGGCTCGGGACAAGACACCCCCACCTTCCTATTGATCATCTGGCCAGCACACAAAGGATGTACCTTCTTGGAGCTCCATTGGTCTTAGAGTGCTGCTGTTGGGAGTTAGATGAGCTGTCTATTGTTCGGGTGAACACTCCCCTACAAGAGACCGAAAGGTATTGAGAAGTCTGGGTGTGGCCCTAGTGGTATGAGGATGCCGGTAGAGTCTTGAGATCACTTACCGGATGATATAACCAGCAGGAGCCTTTGTGTTCGGAGAACTGCCAAGAGAAAAGGAGACATGAAGGGAATAGCAGCCTCACTACAGAGCTCAGGCCACCGATTTTTACTGGTTCCCAACTACAGCAGATGGCTATCCCAGTAGGGTGGTCAGGTGTGTCCCAATATAGTGGCCAGGTGCCCACTTTGCTCCACCTAGCTTTCCTTCAGTCTCTCCCAGAAGTTTCTGCTTTCCAGGCACCAGGGCCTCCTGGAGCAGACTGAAAGTCCCTTGGTCAGAGCCCAGGCTGCCTCAGTCTGGGGCTGAAGTGAACAGAAGGTAATGCTCTCTGGCCTTCCCTTACCACTCCTCTGGCCCCTAGTGGTGCTGAAAGTGTAAAATGTTAGTTTCTGGGCACTGGGGCTTGCTATCTGTCAACAAAAGATGATGTTCAGAAGACTTGCACTAGGGAGAGCATGCTAGAAGTAGTGAGGGGGTAATCTTGGGCTCAGGCAAGGCAATGAGGGCCCCTTCAAGGAGTTGGCGAGAGGACAAGGTCTCAGCAGATAGTCCTATCCAGAAATATTAGAGTTCTGGGCTGGAATAGTGCAGCTAGGTAGGTCTAAGGGTACCACAAAGCCCTAGCTAGCATTTATTCCTATAGACTGTGATTTTATCAGGGAGCAGCTTCTTGGAGATGGCCAAGTTGCAGAAACATTCAAAGGGAAGCTGGTTAAGAGCACTGCCTGGTCATCTAAAGGTCCTGAGTTCAATTCCCAGCAACCACATGGTGGCTTACAACCATCTGTAATGAGATCTGGTGCCTTCTTCTGGCCTACACAATAAATAAGTAAATCTTAAATAAATAAATCTTAAAAAAAAATTGGGGCTGGAGAGATGGCTCAGTGGTTAAGAGCACTGACTGCTCTTTCAGAGGTCCTGAGTTCAATTCCCAGCAACCACATTGTGGCTCACAGCCATCTGTAATGAGATCTGGTGCCCTCTTCTGGCCAGCAAGCAGACAGACAGAATACTGTATAATAAATAAATAAATAAATAAATCTTTTAAAAAAACATTCAAAGGGAAGCCCAAAGAGCCTGTCTTATCCATGTATTTCAAATGACTCAATTCAGCCTCCCTATGTGCTCCCTATGTGATGTCCACCCCTCCTTGCAGCAGAAGAGCCTCTGCGGTCCGTTTAAGAGTCAGTTAGGTACTACCTCTTACCTGGCATTTGATCCCTCTCCAACTGATGAGGGTGTGGCGTAGTTTTGTCCCGAGGGAAGTGCTCTGTGGAAAGATAGGACTTGAATATAGTGGCTCCCATGCTCCTTGCCACCTGTTAACCTGTGGTTCCATCCCCAAACCGGCCTACTATGCACCATCACTGCATCTTACCTTTTCCTCTCCCGACCTACCTAACAGGTGTGTGACCACACATGCCTCAGCATCCCATCTGTGGCTGTGTTCAGGCTTTACCCTCACCTGGCTGGTGACCCACAGCCTGACCTAGCTCTAAATGGTGGAATGTCCTCAGCATCCCTAGCTAGGGTTGGGTGCCAAGCCCCCACCCTCAGTGTTGACTGCTGCCTTCCCTTCTGGCCTGGCCTCCTGGACTTACACAGCATGGTCGTCTGAGTCTTCGTGCTTAGTTATCCAGCTCTTGTCGCCCTTCAGTGTAGTTCGCACTTTCATTTGCTTCAGGACATTTTTCCGCTCCTCTTCACTGGCTGACAAAGGTTTCCCTGGCAGGGGCAAACCTAAGAGCCTTAACAGGGGAACCCCAGCCCCTAGTCCCAGGGCCCTTGCCAGCCCTCCCATTATGAAGTCATCCATCGGCTGCCTGGGCAACATTCATGTCCCTCTAGGGGTTTGCTGGTAATAATTCAAGCAGACATGTAGCCCAGGCTCACCTTTTCCATTACCTCCTGAAGTGCTCATGATGTTTCGTTTTCAACAGAGTTGTAATGTTACTAGTGGATTCAGTGGGCTCCTGGGATCAAAGACAAACACAGATTTGTCAATACATGAATTTCTAATGGCTTATTGGTCACCTCTAGAGTGTGAATGTGGTGTGTCCCCTAAGGGCTCTTGTGTTGGAAGCTTGGTCCCCAAAGAGGTAGTGGGACTTTTAAGGAGTGAAGTTGGGGGGGGATGTGGAAATGGCTCAGTCAGTGCTAGGCATAATAATACATCCTTATTGCTATCAGTGGGAAGGCAAAGATAGCAGGATCCCTGAGGCTTGCTGGACAGTCAGTCTAGCCAAATGGGTGAACTCTAGGTTTACGGAGAGTTCCTATTTCATAAAGTAAGGCAAACAGTGATAAAGACACCTGCTATTGACCTCTGATTTCTACATGTGCATATGAACATGTAAACACAAGTCCATCCATACTCATCCCCTCTACCCACACACGCATCCCCATCCCCCACAAAAAGTAAGGTTCAATGAAAGGTAATTAGATTGCGGGGACAACTGTTGTATGATAGAATTAATGCCTTGGGAGAACTTGGTTAGTTCTCATGGGTGTTTGTCACCCAAAAGCAAGTCTAGCCCAGCTCTGGTTTCTCCTTGGCTTCCCAGTTCACCATGTAAGTTGTCTTTCTGACATGCACATTCTCCTACCTGCCACGGTGACACCACCAGCCATGAGTTCCTTGCCCGAGTGACCGCTCAGACCATGGCCTCGAGTCTCCAGAACTAAATGAGTATCTGTCCTCTCTAAAGCACCAAGCCTCAGCTACTACATTATGACAGTGTAGGGATAGCCCAGCCCATCGGAGGGGCGTGTTTGCCTCGGGCTAATGTTTACTTATAAGTCTGGGGGGGGGGGCGTGAGCCCCGCCTCTCTTTTTTGTATCTCCTGCTCATCGCTGGATCCCTGGTGTTGTAAGCTATCCCTTCATTAAAATTTGCTGTTTCACATTAAGCTCGCCTGGTTATTACGTCGCCTACATGACAGAAAATGAACTCGTAGAGGCCCTTTGTGATCCTACCACACCAAGATCATGCAGACTTTCCTTCAGGGATCAGGAAGGACAGAGGCAGTAGAGTTCTGAAGTGTAGAGAGAGCCTAGAGAACCAGCTGAATGCCACACCTACCCGTACAGCCATTGCTGCTCACCTGGAGAATATGGAACTTGTTGCCTCTCAGGAACTGTCTGTTCTAGTCTGTTATTAAGGGCAGATCACAAAGAGTGCTAAGGGAAAGAGACTAGGGAGGAGAGTTGGCAACGAGGAAGCCAACAGTGTCATGGAGACTAGTACGGAGTTGACCTGGCACTGTAGAACTGAGAGGGTAGGACTGAAGCATATCTCAGGCGAAACACCTCTCGGGGTAGGCTTGGAGATAGGGCAAGGGTCCAGGGAACCCGTTGCTTTAGGACTGAACCACCATTTTACACCTTAGTAGCTGTCAGATCGTGGGCAAATCCGTTCATTTGCTCTGGGCGGCCTCAGTTTTGTTATCTGTAAGATGATGTAGTCCTATTTGGGGTTGGCTCCTCATCCTGTTTCCTCACGGACCCAGTGCTAAGGAGTGACCTCAGAATCAGATGAGGAAGATAATCTGGTCAGGGCCAACAGGTTCCTCGTTCTCTGTTCTCCCCCATCACCTCCTCCCTGGCTTGCCGAGAGTGGGCCCGAAGAGGGCTATTCATCTGCTCTCCATGCTGAGAGACCCAAAGCTGAGGACTAGCTGAGGACTAGGTAACCTCCTAGACTGTGACAGGTTTGGATGCTACCATGAATAATCACAGCTGATCCTGCAAACCTAAAGACAGCCTGGGATGTTCAGAGCTGTGGGCATGACAGAAAGCAAGGCCCTGGCTGTGCTAAGGAAAAATCCTTCCTTCCTAGGGTCTTCTACCCTCTGGGTCCCTCCAGGGCTAGGCTTTGACCAGCTCAGTAATGGTGCCAGCTGGCAGGACCTGGACATGTTTCCATGGAAGTCGGGGGCACACTTAAAGGGGAAGTGATGGGGGCAAAGACCAGACTAAATAAGCCACATCAGCAAGAGCCTGCTCTCCCATAAACTGTACCAAGTGCAGTCCAGGCAGGCTGAATCTTCTGCATGCCAGGAATGACACCTCATCATGGCATTGAAGCTGTAGTAAGATGTGGAATGACCCCATGAGCCAGAATGCATGGGTACAGTTAATGCCTCTAGGCAGACCACTGAAGCCTGAGCCCTTGGTCCCTGGGTCTTTTGATGCTATCAAATGTGAAAAACTTCGATAGTCCCTTACTTCTTTGCATGAAAGAACCAGTGGCAACTCTCCAGGCAAAGGAGCAAGGGTACATGCCAGAAATGAACCAGGGCTGGTGCTCCTGCATCCGCTGCTTTCCTTTCAGCCTGACTGCATCTCAGAAGCCCAATTCCTTTCCCAACAAGACAGTAAGCCTGAATGGGCCCGGGAATGTAGTTCAGTTATATCAGTAGTTGTTGAGCACTCACAAGGCCCTGGGTTCCCTCAAAATGCCTCCCAAATGTCCCACCAAGACACATTTCTATTCTGCCTTTATGGAGAAATGACTTCTGGCTCTTTGGGAAGTTGCCAACTAACTCTTCTTGGGGCTTTCTACCCAGTTGGCAAGAAAGAGGTACTGTGATGCAGGCCTCCAGGTAGTGGGGCTTCAGGGGGACATCTTAAAGGACACTTACATAGAAGATCTCACTTCTGATCTGTACATGTCTCTTTGAGGCAGGTTAGGCTGAGGAGGGCAAAGGGAAAAATAGAAGAAGCACTCTGGCTTGCCTGAGCGCGGTAGATGGGGCCAGTCCTTTCCACATCCAGATGCTCTCAAAGCACATATATACACACTCATACACATATAAACACCACATATACATGACACATACACATGCATACAACATTCCCCTACACTCCCCCCACATCCCACAAACACATACACACACTACATATACACCACACTCATGCACACACCCCATAGCACACACATATACATACCATAACACCATTCACACATACACACATACTCACACACATACACACCCCACACATACACATGCATACAACACGCCCATATACACATCACACACGTACGCCCCCACATACACATACCACATACACCACAAACACACACACTATATACATACCACACACTCCTACACACACCTCATACCACATACCACACACCATCCACACATATGCATACTCACACACATATATAAACACCCCACACAAACATACACATGCATGCAACACTCCATACACACACCACACTTACACCCTAGACCCACACACACCACCCATAACTATATACAAACCACAGATACACACCCCTTCCCCCATATACACACCACACACACCACCCATATCTCTATATAAACCACATACATACACACACTACATAATAACCCCACACCCTGCACATACTCCTCTACACATACACCCGCCATGCGTACACCACACACATACACCCACCACACATGTACACACACTATCACCCCACATCCACAAACATCACACATTCCTCACTCACATTTAACATACATGACACACATACATAGTTCACACACACCATTCACCTACCCGCCCCCCACAAATACATTTAATTACCTTTGGGAGGCACAAATCTCATTTCCCCACTTCTCTCTGGATCACAACCTAGTCCCACCTGGTCATATTATACTAAACATAGAGGAAGAGGAAACCATGATAGAAAAGAAAAGTCCGGTGGCCTGTCTAAGGAGCTAACATCCTTCTGACCAAGTTCAGGCTCCTTGATGCTCTAGTCTGGATGTAGGAATCTCAGGGGAAATGGGCTTGGAGGTAAATTTTCCCTAGTGGCTGTGGTATCCTCTGGGTGCCACCCCACCCTGGGGCCCTCACTCTGGCCCTCTACTGTTTTCATATCCGCCCACCCCAAGAGGAAGGACCCATGTCTTTCTGGGCATCTTGCAGAGAGCTGGAATAGATGTTGGGAAGAGGTAAGAAGGACTTAATCCAATTAGCAGCTGGTCCTCCGCTCTTGGCCCAAAGATCCCTGGAACTGGATTGCTCTGGCAAGGGCTTGGGTGAGAGTAAAGAGCAGACTGGTTGCCTTCTCCAAGTCTGGGTGGTAGGGAGATATGGGGTCTGGAACTGCTCTGAGATTGGAGCCAGATGTCAAGCAGAGGTAAACTGGGAATGAAAGATGGAAAGCCTCTAGCATTGTTTCGTTTTCTTTCTTTCATTCATGAATACATTATTTATTATTCCAGGCCAGCCTTGAACATACTATGTAGCCAAGGATGAGTGTTAGCTTCTGTTCCACTTGCCTCCATCTCTCAAGTGCCGGGAGTGTGAATTTGGACCACCACACTTGCTCTGAGCAGTGCTGTGGACTGAATCCAGGGCAAGCTCTCCACCAATTGAGATAAATCCCCAGCCCTAGTGCTGACTTCTAAGATCACAGAACAGCGATCATTTTAGTGCAGGGTGACAAGGAGATGCCACCAGAGGGCAATAGCGAGGCAGGAGGAAGGGTGGGGGAGCTGGCAGGCCCAGAATAAATAGGAGGGGAAATCTGGTAGGAAAGAAGGAGCAAGGTAGAACAAGGAGAGGAGGACGCTAGGGGGCAGCCACACAGCCAGCCATGGTAAGAAGAAAAATAAGACATATAGAAGAAAAGGCCCAGAGGCAAAAGGTAAATGAGATAATTTAAGAAAGGAAAAGCTGGCTAGAAAGAAGCCAAGCTAAGACCAGGTTTTCTAAGTAAGAACAAGCCTCCATGTGTGATTTATTTGGGAGCTGGGTAGGTGCCCCTAGTATCCTCTTCTTGATCTTGTTTGCTCTTCCTTGTTTCTCCTTCTACTTATCCTCTCTGCCTGCCAGCCCCGCCTATCCTTGCTCCTGCCTCACTATTGGCCATTTAGCGCTTTATTAACCCATTGGGTGTTTTAGACAGGCAAAAAAATAAAAAAAAAAAAATCACAGCTTCACAGAGTTAAACAAATGCAGCACAAGCAAAAGCAACACATTTTTACA